AGAAAGAAAGAAAGAAAAAAAGAAAGGAAAGGGAAGAAAAAGAAAGATAATTAAAAAAGAAAGGAAGGAAAAGTGAAGGAAAAAATTATTTGCTAGAAAGAGAAAGAAAGAAAGAAAGAAAGAAAGAAAGAAAGAAAGAAAGAAAGAAAGAAAAAGAGAAATCGATAAAGAGAAAAAAGTTAATAGCACTGTCGCCACACAGCAAGAAGGTCACTGGTTCGAGTCACGGCTGGGTCAGTTGCCAATTCTGTGTGGAGTTTGCATTTTCTCCCTGTGTTCGTGTGGGTTTTCTTCGGGTGCTCAAGTTTCCCCCATAGTCTAATGACATGCGTTATAGGTGAATTGAATAAACTAAATTGCCTGTAGTGCATGTGTGTCAATAAGAGTGTATGGGTATTTTCCCAGTACTGGGTTGCAGCTAAAAGGGCATGTGTTGTGTAAAACATGCTGGATAAGTTGGGGGTTCATTCCACTGTGGCGACCTCAGATTAATAAAGTGACTAAGCCAAAGGAGAAAGAAAAAAAGAAAGAAAGAAAGAAAGAAAGAAAGAAAGAAAGAAAGAAAGAAAGAAAGAAAAAGAAAGAAAGAACCACACGAGTGCAACATTAAACCTGAAAATAAGGCTAAAAGCTCTGGCCGGCTGTCAAGCTCTGACCTGTCCATGGCTCCAACTGGATGATTCATTATGAGAAATGAAAACATTTCATTATGGTAAGCCGTTTTCGGGTAATGCAATGAATTACACGTGTGAGCCAGCATGGGTCATTATAGTATAGAGTAACTGGTAAAGGTCACTAGACTGAATCGGTGAGAACTCATGCAGAGAGAATATCCGCTTGCCTGTACTTTACACCGCTGAGTTTAGTAACACCACTAAATATAGGCCACCCAAAGCTGTTGATATTCTTTTCAATATCCCCAAACATCGCTCTTTTAAAATGAAACACAATCTGCTGGTGTTAAGTGCGGAAACGATGAGCCGATTACCAGTGTAAAAGTAAGAATGGTTATTTATGCTACAGCATTTTTTATAACCATGTGTTTTTGAAATTTTTGCAATGGTGAAATATATTCTAAAATTTAAAAGTCAAACTGTAGAGGGCTGCAGCTTCAGTTCCAACCCTAATTAAACACACTCAAACTAATTGAGTGCTTTAGGCTTGTCTGATACTTACAGGTAGGTGTGTTGAAACAGGGCTGGAACTAAATTCTGCAGTGTTGCAGCCCTCCAGGAATTGAGTTTGACACCCCTGGTCTAGAATTTTCTTTTTTTGATTTAGGTAGGAATATTGAATGCATTGCCACAACAAAGAAATTTATCATCCTGTTTTAAAGAGAAAATAAGTGCTAGATATAATTTTTTAGCAACTAGGTAGCCCTTAATAAAAAAGAAATAAAAAATAAAAAATTGGAAACTGGAAAGTGCAGTGTACAAAAGTAATAAGCTCCCCTGAGTTAATGCTTTGTGAAACCCCTATTTTGCTGACATTACAGCTGTAAGTCTTTTAAGGTATGTCTTTACCAGTTTTGCACATCCGAGACTGAAATCTTTGCCCATTCTTCCTTCCAAAATAATTGAAGCTAAGTCAGATTAGATGGAGAGATTGTAAAAAAAATTGAACTCATGTAGAATTTTCTGTCTACTTCACATTTTTTTGTCACTTTGCGTTGGTCTTTCACATATTGTAATGTGAGAAAATGTGTAAAGATTCAAGGGGCATGAATACTTTTGCAAGCCTTTATATACAGTTTAATTCAGAATTATTAGCCCCCCTTCAATTTTTTTTCTTTTTTATATATTTCCCAAATGATGTTTAACAGAGCAAGGAAATTTTCACATTATGTCTGATAATATTTTTTCTTCTGGAGAAAGTCTTATTTGTTTTATTTCGGCTAGAATAAAAGCGGTTATTAATTTTTTAAACGACATTTTAAGGACAAAATTATTAGCCCCTTTAAGCTATATATTTTTGGTAGTCTATAGAACTGCCTATATAACTTAATTAACCTAGTTAGGCCTTTAAATGTCACTTTAAGATGTATAGAAGTGTCTTAAAAATATCTTGTAAAATATTATTTACTGATAAAATTAATCAGTTATTAGAAATTAGTCATTAAAACTATTATGTTTAGAAATGTGTTGAAAAAATAACTTCTCTCTATCAAACAGAAATTGGGGAAAAAATAAACAGGGGGTCTAATAATTCAGGGGGGCTAATAATTCAGGGGGGCTAATAATTCAACTGTATATGATGACCATAGCTAAGGTAGGACATTCAGTTACTGTGAGTGAGATAGTGGCAAAAAAAGATCTTTATATTTTATGGGAATGTTCTGATTATTATAATCAAATCTTTGATGAGTGTGTTTTGCCCAGGTTTTGGTTGGTCATAGATTAATAGTAAAAAGAAAAAAAAAAACTTTCAGTAAGTTCTGTGGTGAGGAGTGAATCACTGAATCATTAACTTTAACAGTGTGTTATTAATGGCAGATTATATATACAGTTTAAGTCAGAATTATTATTATTATTATTGGAAAATATGTTTAAAAAGAAAAAACATCAAAAGGGGGCTAAAATTCTGACTTCAACTGTATAACTTCTATATATAAACAGCATGTGAAAAAATAATTTTGGCAAAAACAAAAAACTACAGACAACTGATGAATGTACGTTCAGATCACACACACATCAATATAATATGAATAAAAATTGTTTTTAATAGTTGCAATGTGATTAATGTATATGTAAAGTATAAATATGCAATTTGAATGGAGCCTGTGATTTTAAGAATGAGTCAATGAGTCACTGACTTAAATAATTAGTTTAAAAGCAGATTTGTTCAGGAAAGTACAGTATTTGTTTTAGATTCATTCCGTCATTTAAGCGTAATGTAGGCAAATTCCATATATGGACATATTCCTACACTATAGTAAAGTACTTGAATTCATTTGTTGTGGCAATTCTACAGTTTTGCGACACTGTGGCTCAGGTTAGCACTGTCGCCTCACAGCAAGAAGGTCTGTTTCCCTGGTTTCCCCCACTAGACCTACATGCGAGGTGAATTGGGTTGGCTAAATTGTAAAAAGTGTATGTGTGTGTATGGGTATTTCCCAGTGCTGGGTTGCGGCTGGAAGGGCATCCACTGTGTAAAACATATGCTGAATAAGTTAGGTGTTTATTTTGCTGTGGCGACCCCAGATTAATAAATGGGACTAAACCAAAAGAAAATGTATTAACGAAAAATTAAAAAACTACAATGACAACACTGTGATTGTAATTACACACTAATAAAATAATTAATTTAGAGGTTGCAATGTAACTCTTAATAGGCAATTTCATATGCAGGCTCTGTTTTAAGAATGAGTAAGTTAATCACTGGCTTAAATCATTTGTTCAAAAGCAGATTCATTCAGGAATGTATTTGTTCGTATGTAATGTAATGTAGGTTTCTTCAACTATGATATATTATTACAATACTACAACAGACAACAGTTTGCAGAAGTACAAATTAACGTATACTTTAAGTATTTACATTACATTTAACAGACAATTTATCTAAAGTTACTTACACCCGTGAACACACACCGACCTATTAATACTAATATGCTGTAACAAATAAACATTAACAAAGATTTGGAAATACTACAATAAATACAGGCGATCACTTTATAGCAACACTAGTCGCTGGTTCGAGCCTCAGCTGGGTGAGTTGGCATTTCTGTGTGGAGTTTGCATGTTCTCCCTGTGTTCACGTGGGTTTCCTCCGGGTGCTCTGGTTTCCCCCACAAGTCCAAAGACATGTGCTATAGAATTATAAGCTAAACTGTCTGTGGTGTGAGAGTAAATGAGAGTGTATAGGTGTTTCCCAGTGATGGGTTACAACTGGAAGGGCATCCGTCGCGTAAAACATGTGCTGGGTAAGTTGGCGGTTCATTCCGTTGTGGCGACCCCTGATTAATAAAGGGACTAAGCCAAAAAAAATTAACAAATAAATGAAAAAATGACAATAAATACAGTATACAACATGTTGCTATAGGATGGTTCACAAACACTACAGAATTTGCAATACATTATTGTATTATTTTGGTACGCTCGAGCAATAAATTACTTCAATAGTTCAAATTTTGTTCGAACTGATGTTTTACAGAGTAAATGTTTTCTATAAATCATGATTAAAATATTTAATTAATTATTAAATTAATGAATAAATGAGTTTAATGGAGCAGTTGAACATGTGTTTGTTTGTTTGTTTGTTTGTTTGTTTGTTTGTTTGTTTGTTTGTTTGTTTGTTTGTTTGTTTTGAGTGACTTCCAGAGAAGAAAATATTGAATGATGCGAGTAAAAACTGTACACTATTAACTTCTTTGAACACTCTAATCTAACTCTAAAGATACAATTACTGCAATTACGTCAATACAACAACCTTTAAGAAACGAAATAAACACAATTTTCCTCCTAGAGGGAAATATTATTGGAATTAAAAAATTATTGATATTAATTGGAAAGCTATCTGGTCAAACCCCTTAAATTTTGCCTTTTAAATAAGGTTCAAGAAGTGCACTTCAAAATACTTTACAAAATGTATCCTTGCAAAGTAACTTTATCTAAATTTATGGATATTGATAATACTTGCACAATTTGTAATATACATAGGGAAGACTTATCTCATCTTTTCTATAACTGTGATGTTTCTCTTAAATTTTGGAATGTTTTTTTTCTTACAGCATTTTTAATACTCTTTTTTTTATCTCTTTTCCTCCCACCTGTTAAGTTTTTGCTTCATTATTATTTCTGATTGTGTTTTTGCAATTCCTGTATGTTCCTAGATATAGCTCATGACTGAATTTGTATTATTACTTTATGTAATGTTTCAAAGCTTATAATAAAAAATGTAAAGTAAAAAAATCAAAATCAAAAAAATAAACAAACCTTTATTTTAATCCAGTCAACGTCCTCCTCATCCTTCTCCGGGCCTGCAGGTGGCGACGGCGCGCAGCTCCGGCTTCTGTGCGTCCGCGAGCCGTCAGCTGTGACCGCGGATCAGGGAGAGCCTAGCGGATGAGAGATGCTTTGATTCTTATTCATGACAACAATTTGAAGATCAGCCAAAAATATATCTCGCTCCTTCACATGACCGGGATAAAATGCAGCCGGACGAGACGCAGTATTTACAACGGTAAGCAGCGACTGCATTCGGCTTGAATTAACGTAACATCACAGAATGACAGCCTTTATGTTGAGTCAGTATGTCTGTTTATTTAGAAAGAGACACTGCAGATAATACGCTTGTATCATATTATATGTGCTAACCCTTGCTGGTTTAATTTCCATCGAATTATTTTATTATAATATCTATAGTCGTGTATAAATCTGGGTCAAATACATCCGCTCCACTTGCTGATGGGCGTGGCCTACAGAAAGCGTCCCGTTATGATGCCAGTTACTGTAGTATTTTTGGGCGCGTCCCAAGTCAGATGCACATGTGATGTAATCTTACAAATGCTGTTTATGCTTAGCAGCTCTCTAAAGGGTTTGAGACACAGCCTGTAGTTAAGGCAAGACACTGCAGAATAGCATCTAATGCTTACACAAATGATTGATCAAATTATAATTGGGACTTGGGGAGCTGCACATCGATGAATTTGTTCTTCAGTGTTTGAACTTTCAGCGGTGAAAATCACACTACACTGAACTGAACTGAACTGAACTTCAATCTGAAAACTGCACTGACACAATTTCTATTTACTACAACCCCTGGCAAAAAGTATGGAATGGCCACTCTTGATAGATGTTCATTCAAATGTTTAGTTGTGTAGAAAAACAAACCAAACACAGACATGCCACAAAACTATTTTCATTAAACAATCTAACCTTTTGGCTGTATGCAACACTTAAAAAAAGTCAATTACAACTGTTTTTACAGATCAAGGTCAGAAAACAAATATGGAATTACAAAAATCTGATGAAAATGATAAGGAATCACCAAATAAAAAGCACCACTAATACTTTATTGCGCCATCTCTGACTTTTTTTGTAGCTTGAATTATCTGAGGCATGGATTAAGTATTCTTCATCAGTCTGTCTCCAACTTTTTCTTATTGCAGTTGCCAGATCAGCTTTGCAGTTTGGAGCTTGTGATGGACTATTTTCTTTAATTTCCACCACAGATTTTCAATTAAATTGAGGTCTGGACTATTTGCAGGCCATCCCATTGACATTTTTTGTCTTTCCTTATGTGAATTCAATTATATTTTTATTTCTATAGCGCTTTTACAATGTACACTCAAAAAATTCTGTTTGCTGTTTTTTCAAACTACTTATTTATAATGAGCTAAAATGTAAGAAAATGAGCTGCTTAAAAGGAGATTTGGGAACAAACACACATTTTGAGTTCCATGCATTTGAGAAAATAGCCTTTAAAAGTAGGGCTGCACGATTTGGAGAAGAAATCTAATTGAGATTTATTCATTCATTCATTTTCTTGTCGGCTTAGTCCCTTTAATAATCCGGGGTCACCACAGCAGAATGAACCACCAACTTATCCAACCAGTTTTTACACAGCGGATGCCCATCAGCTTAAACCCATCTTTGGGAAACATCCACACACACATTCACACACACACTCATACACTACGGAAAATTTTGCCTACCCAATTCACCTGTACTGCATGTCTTTGACTGTGGGGGAAAGCGGAGCACCCGGAGGAAACCTATGCGAATGCAGGGAGAACACGCAAACTCCACACAGAAACGCCAACTGAGCCGAGGCTCAAACCAGAGATCCAGCAACCTTCTTGCTGTGAGGCGACAGCACTACCTAGTGCGCCACTGCTTTGCCCTAATTGGATTTATCTGATCAAAATTGTGATTTGCAATTTAAAATGTGATATACTTAAATTTCATTAAAAAAAACTGCAGGTTTGATGTGGTTTTAACGGCACCAAAAAAAGACCTAGCATAATCCCAAAGTATGCGACACTATGATAATGTTCATTTAAAACCATTTTTTTTCCCAGTAAAGTAGTCAGATGTCATGACAAATTAAGAAAACAACATTCTAAAAAATTATGTGAATTCAGTTATTATTCCTCTTTATTTCTATAGCACTTTTACAATGTACACTCAAAAATTAAGTTTACTGTTTGTTTTAAATGAGCTAAAACAAGACAATTCTTGACTTTTTTTGGGACAGCTTAATTGTTTATGTTTAATCTACTTAAATATGTATTAAACTACTCAGCTAACTTAATTCTTTCATGTTGCCTCAACACAAATTGATTGTGTGGAACCCAACATTTTTTTACAGTGTAGATTGTGTCAAAGCAGCTTAACGCAGAAGATTATAGTAATCTATCGTATATGTCATCATCACCAAACATCCTTTCAATTGATAGAATAAGAAAAGTACCCAAAATCTCAATATAAACTTGTGCATTTATAGAGGATGTAATGACTGCTATCTCTCCCATACCTTTACCTGACATACTTCCCCATATTCTTAATGATGTAGGACATTTGCATGTTTTCTTCAGGCAGTTGTCATTGTACATTTTATTGGAACGGCACCAAAGATTAACCTTCTTTCAGAAGTTTGATAATCCTCTCCTTTGTTTTAACTGACAAGCACTTTTTTTTTAACTGCAGACTAGTTAGCAGTGGTTATCAGATAAGGTTGTATGATTTAAAACTGCAAAGTGCATGATGATTCCATATCATTTTCCTCAGATTTTTGTGATTCCATATTTGTTTCCTCTGCTTGATCTGTAAAAACAATTGTAATTGACTACAAAGTTCTTTCATTTTTCTTTTTTAAGTGTTTCATACAGACAGGATTGTTGACATCTTCCAAGAGTGGTGATTCAGTACTTTTTGCCAGGGGTTGAAGATCTTTCATGTTAAGCTGCTTTGACACAATCCACATTGTAAAAGCACGATAAAGATAAATGTAATTGCATTGAATTGAATTGGGCAACACGGTGGCACAGTAGGTAGCCCTCTCCCCTCACAGCAAGAAGGTCGCTGGTTTGAGTCTCGGCAGGGTCAGTTGGCATTTCTGTGAGGAGTTTGCATGTACTCCCCGTGTTTGTGTGGGTTTCCTCCAGGTGCTCTGGTTTCCCCCACAAGCCCAAAGACATGTAGTTCAGGTGAATTGGGTGAGCTAAATTGGCCGTAGTGTACTGTACATAATGTGTGTGAATGAGCGTGTGTGTGTGGATGTTTCCCAGTGATGGGTTGCAGCTGGAAGGGCATCCGCTGTGTAATATACTTCTTGGTAAGTTGCCGGTTCATTCCACTGTGGCAACCCTGGATTAATATGAACTTTCAAAACTGACTAGTACATGAAAAAGCAGTGTTTTTGCCTACACTGATTCAGTCTAATTCTACCCACACTGTCACATCTAATCTTGATCTCTCCTGTGTCTATTAGGAGATGTAGGATTGGTGATATAGATGTGCACCCCACAGAGAAGGCTCTAGTTGTGTATTATGAAGTGGAAGCATCTATTTTAGGGGAAACGGGCAATGCAAGGCATGAGGAGAAGAAGGACTGCCAGAAAATGTAAGCAATTAGACTCTTTACACTCTCTTACCATCCATTCATCCCTTCATTCAATTTGTTTGGCTTTTGTTTTGTTTTATTTAGCATCCGGCTGAGGAGTCTGAACGCCAGCACTGATATTTCCGCCCTGGCCAAGAAGGTGGTGGAAGAGTGTAAACTCATTCATCCATCTAAGCTGAAAGAGGTGGAACATCTGCTGCTGTATTTACAGAACCGAAAGAAGCCCAGCACTAAATGTAAATCCTCTTTAAAAGGATTCTTTGCTCAAAATTAAAATTTACTGTTGATTTTTAGGCTAAGCAAGATATAAGTAAGTTTTGTCATTTAATAGTAGAACATTACATTACATGTTAAGCTGATTTTAAGGTTGACATAAATTCTGAAAGTAAAAGTAAACATGTACAGGTGACAGAATTTGTATCAGTGGCTCCTGGTGACACACTGAGGTCTTGAGAAGCAAAACATTCATTTTTGGTTTATCCTGAATGCTGCACTGTGTAAAATTATAGATTACAGGTAATAATGCTCATTTGCTTGATTAAATTCATAATGTAGAATAGGAGCTATGTTTTACAGTATGTTTTACTATATACATTTAAGGTGACTCACATTTTCTGAATCACCAAAGACTATCGTTTCAAATCTTCTTTAATTTAATAAAGATAAAATAATATTAATATAATAATACTAATGTTTAAAAAAACATCTTGGAATGCCAGATGGTGGGTTTAATAGTAAATGTTACTGAAATCATACTTTTTGGAGGTACCTTTATTTGAGCAACTCACTTATTATTGAAGTAAATGTTTCTATTCATGTAATTTTAGGCCGTATACCGCAACTGAATAATGAAAATGTTGTGTTGTTTCCTGTTGTCTGTCTTCAGTGGAGAAGAAGGAGAAGAAAGCTCAGAAACCCAGAGAACTCCTGCTGTTTGAAGGAATGGAAGTATGCTTTATTTTCCACTCAAACACATTTCAAGACATGCGTAATTAGGGCTGGCAAACAAAAGAAAGCGTTACCACATGTGATTAATTATACATGTTAAATGTTGCTCATTTTTAATGCTAGCTAGGTGTGTGTGATATTGTCATCTATAACAACGTTGTAGGTGTTGTTTTAATGATGTGCGAGCTGACATTATCCAGTATATTACTGACTTTGCAAGAAACAAACAGGGGAAAAAACAAGCTCTGAATCTTGAGAGGCCAAAAGCAATGACGTTGACGTTGCTTGTTTTATTTTTAAATAATTTTTTAAGTATATGATCTAGTTAATGTCAGTTAAACAAAAATATAATATCAGCAAATCTAATATTGATTCTCTACATTATATCAACAAACATGATATGACATTTGTTTAGACACAAAACTTGTCTCTTTTTACTTATGAATATTTTTCACCACTGCAGACCTTTTGTTTTTTTAAAGCAGCACCGCAGTGTTTCTGTCCTGAATTCATATTTGTCAGTGACTCGTATGAGCCAGTAATTCAATGATCTATTCGTGAAGACTCACAGTGCTTTTAGATAAAGCAGCTTTTTTGTACAAAATAATCACTCATCAAAATAGGGATTTGCAATAATTAGTGTCAAATGTAGTATCATTTTTTAAAATGTATTTCTTACTCACTTAGCTAAATATTACTTAATGTTATCAATAAAAAAAATTAAGAATGTATATATATTTAGTCAATTTTGCACACCTCTACTGCTTATGCATTCATCTGTTTTACTTAAATTATTAATTCTGCTCGTTGTTACTTTTACCAAGTTTGTGGCAGAAGCTGACTTATAACTTATGATTCTTCTTTCATTTTATTTTATTTTATTTATATCATTTAACAAAGGTAAAAGTTGCAGTTCAGTGTAACTGAATCATTATTGCAGCTCAAATAATGAGAAATGTTTCATAAATCTAAAATGTTAAAAATTTAGAAAGATCTTTGCATAAAAATACAAGTATAGAACAATTCATAAAATGTATTCATAATTTAGAAGCAGACTTTATGTAACAGTATTTTACTTAAACTGACTCCCTGAAGCATTAGATGTCACATAAGTAAATCTTTTATTTAATGTCAAGTTTTACATTTCCGTGATCCTTTTCTTTCCAGATTGATGAGGAGGCAAATATTAATAAAATTGAAGAGTACATAGAGCTGTTGTATGAAAGCATCCCTGAGAAGATCAGAGGCTCAACTCTCATCCTACATTTGGCACGTAACCCTGATAACCTGGAGGAGCTCCTGCATAACGGTATTTCAGCTGCTCATTTTTCTTTTTCATTCACTGTCAACAGTGTTATTATTCTTAATAAACATGAAAAGTCACCAGCTGCCACACGACAGCAATATTTTCAGTGGTTATTATTTCTGTTACAGTCTAAAATCATTCCTTAGAAGACATGTAGGTCAGTTTAGCATAAAAGTGAAGTCGAATTGAGCTTGTCATTTTGCTACATGTGTGGACAAATAATAGAATCAATTGTCTTGTCTTGCAGGACTACGGAACTACATACTAGTTAAACATAAATAAAAGTATACAACAGCATAGTATAAGAAAAAAAACTGCTGCAAAAGACGTACTATTTACAAACCCCCCAAAAAAGACTCCTTTGGATCTAAAAGCAACAATTTGTTAAAAGAATGGGATCTAGGTACAGATAACAAACTTCGTGAAGTTAACTGTAATGTTGGTAAAAGAAACTTTTATATATTTTCCAATCAGGGATATCAGATTGTTTTTACCGGTAGAATCAGTTGTAGAAAAAGCACTCTAACTATAAAGCTAAAAGATCTAAAGTTCTATTGGATTGAGTTGGTTTAATCCTGTGAGGAATTTATTTTGTTCAGTTTATTCTTTTGAAGCGGCTATTAACAATTCTTATTCAAATACAGTTTTAGCAAAAATAAATAGTAAACCACTAATATAATCTGTGCATTGCATTAAGCACAAAAATACAGTATAAGAAAAAGAATTATGGAGCTTTACAACGGTTAACCCTCTGACTATAGAGTACATATATACTATTAATATAGTAACTTCTATAAATAGTTGACCACACATACACATAATTGAGACTTTACATTACATAAATGCTGAACCTTATTTTGTGGATTTTGATGGGTTGTGACAGTGAAAAATTATGTTGAAATTTCAGCTTTTTATCATAGGATAAGGTTATATTAAAATTGTGATTTATGAAAGTGGTATAAAAATGTAAAAAGAAAAAAGTATAGTTGTTAAAAAGTGAATAAACAGTACAAACTGTGTCTTCTGAGAACTTTAACAAAGTTCATACAAAATATTCTGAAGCCAGTTATATGCTGTATGGAGTTTCATTCAGTGTCAAAAATATGATTTTTAGTTAAAGGTGCCCTGTACTGCATTGATTCAGTAAGATAAGTTTTTTTTTCTGTGATATCTAAATAATAGGGAAGTGCCCTAATTAAGTTAAGTTTAAAAAAAAAAAAAACTTTAGAAATGGTTTTATATGCTCATTTACTACTCCACAAAATGCCCCAAAAATCAGAAGCTCTATATTGACCATGCATGTTTGGAATGGTCGCTATCTGACACAGGTCTCAGGCCCCGTTTACACTAATACCTTTTAGTTTTAAAACAGTGTTTTAGAATGAAAATGATCCGCGTCCACACTAGCATTTTACCCAGCGTTTCTGAACAGCTCTTAGTCTATACTACACCGCTGTAAATGCACATCACGTGACCACACACACACTCTGGCATGCATTGCAGCGTGCTTTGAGCACATTACCCATATATGAGCTGTGCGCGTCAGACTGTTCATCAAGAATCTACTGCGGGAGCTAATCTTACTATATTTGTTAACGTGATATTTAATTAATCTTGTTGTCTATATCTAACCACATATTCCCAGACTTTGGACTTTTAAATCTATTACTTTTTATAATAGTCATAATTAATAATTAAACTTATTTTGAGCAAAAGAGAGGGTATATATCGTATTTTCAATAAAAAATGAAAGGAGGCAGTTAAGTTATAGGAACCATTTTGTTATAAATATGCATACAGTGAAAATGACGCTTATATAAATATGCTGCTACACAACGCCTCAACATTTTTGGTGTCTGTTTAGTTAATATTAAAATAAAAATAGGCAGTTCTTCATTTCAGGTTTTCATTTTATTGTTGAGAAAGTGAAACAACATAGCCGGGGTGATATGAATGAGGTTATAGAGTACACGTTTCCCTTTGAAGATTTACCCGACGTGTCCTCAGGAGTTTTTGATGTTTTCCATATCAAACTTTTGAAGTCTGAACTTACAAGGAGATGATGCAAGACTGAACTGTGTGTAAGCTACTCTATATACTGTCCAAACCGTATATCATATTGCCCTCACCCCACCCCTAAACCCAACCATCAGGAGACTGTGTGCAGCTTTACTCTCTGATTAAACTCATTCTGTAGGATTCATAAGCATTTTGAGAAATGAGGATGTCACCAATGTCCTCATATTTCACCTCCTTTTTGCAATACCTGTGTCATACCCATGTCATTATATAGATTTTTGTCCTGATATGTCACAAAAACACGTACAGACACACACACAAACACACACACAAACACACACACACACACACACACACACACACACACACACACACACACACACACACACACAGTGTGATGAACTGAAATTAAAATATTTGGTTTGTCAAAAAATATTTTAACAAACAATTTAAAAAGACTTATAAGGAGTGAGTGAGCTATCAAATATAAACCCATTAGAGTAAATCATTTTGATCCTGAGTTGTGTTGTAGGTAATAGCCGGTTAAGTAAACTTTTAAAGAGTGTTTTTGACTGCTTAATAACATGACAATTCTTATGTAAAACAAAATGGCCTTGAATACAAAAATGTATACAGATTATGGTTGTATTATAAGTGTATAGGTTTAATGTATACCAGTAATTAGTATGTATTAAATGTATTTCAGAAACTGCACTTGGAGCTCTGGCTCGCGTACTGAGAGAGGACTGGAAACACAGTGTGGAGTTAGCAACTACCATCATCTATGTATTTTTCTGCTTCTCAAGGTACACAATTTCTTTACAGTTTATTGCTCTTGACAACAGCCTTGCTGTTTTTTTTGTTTTTGTGGTGCTTTAACAGGGCAGCTTGCTGATGAATGCAGATTAAAAGTACTGTCAGCACTGTGAACTCTCTGAGAAGTTATGTCTCTAAATTCAACAGTTTTAAAACATAATTTCTACAACCAACAAAACAACTTCAAACTATATTTTGATTGTTTATGAGGACTTTGTGCAGTAATAATTCACAGACATGTGCTGATTCAAAACACACTAGAACGATAGGATTGTGTGACACTGAAGTAAACATGCTTAAATTTCAGTTTTCTTATATATTTTAAATAAATGCCAGGAAAGTTATATTTTAAAGGGATAGTTCTCTCAAAACGATTTTTTTTTTGTTCTGCTGAAAGATATTTAAAGATAGCTAGAAACTTCCTTTAAAATTTCTGGCCATCGTAACAAACCTGTAACCATTGACTTCCATTATAAATGTTTTTCCTACTATGGATGTCAATGGCAATAGGTTTCCAACATTCTTCAAAATATCTTCATTTGTGTTCAACAAAACAAAAAAAAACTAACTGCTTTGGAACAAGTCAATTGTAAATAATTCATGGCAGAATTTTCATTTTTGTGTGAACTATTTAAATTACTATACTATTCATGACAATATTTGTATTCACAGTTGTATTTTATTTTAAATAAATAAAAAATAAATGCAGCCCTGATCAGTAAAAAAAAAGCCTTCTTTAAAAACAAAACAAAAAATCTTTTGAACATTATTGAAGTGAGAGAATTACACAGCATATTGTATTTCAGAGCAGTAGTGCGATTTCTCTATTTAGCATTTTTCTTTCTTGTAATCATTCTCTTTTATAAGCCTTAAAGAAACCCGTCATACAGTACATTCTCAAAACATCTTTAGTGGCCGCAGATCAGGTTACTGCTTTTCTGAGATAGCTGTCAGCATTTATTCGAGCAATGCAAGTGTGCCTTCTGATTTGAAGGTTTTCCTTGGCCCTCACCATCAGATGGCTAATGTGGAAATTTCTTTCCGCGAGCGAGAATGACTTTGACGTTTGAAGGATGTATTTGAAATGTATGATGAGTTGTTTGGTCTGATCTTTCAGCTCTGTTTATTCACTAATCAGAACTAGAGTATGAAATTCATCTGGCACGTCAGACTCTGCATACTGGCCGTCGTCTAGATTGTATCTCTGAATGTGCCAGGAGAGGTCGAAGGAGGACAGGCCATCATGACTTTGTCTTTCCTGCAGTTTTTCTCAATTCCATGGGCTCATTACACATTATAAGATCGGAGCGCTGTGTATGAACGTCATCGAACATGAGCTGAAGAAATATGACCTGTGGCAGGACGAGTTGGAGAAGAAGAGCAAAGCTTATATCCTTTCTGTCAATCTCTCTTTTTTTAGCAAATTTTTAGCAAAAAAGCTAACAAAAATAGTTCAGACTAAGCAAGTTTGGGTTGATTTAAAGCAAACTTTTGTGCGATTGTTCTGTTAATTGTTTTTTTTTTTTTTTAATAAGTGTGAATGTTGAAATCTGAATCAAACATGCAGATTTTTATTGCTGAAAAGATGGGTCTTGGTTCTGAAACAAATTGGAAAACATGAATGTATCATTAACCAAAATCATCTAAATAAAATGAATGAATGAATAAATGAATGAATAAATAAATAATTTCCCAGAGATGGGTTGCGGCTGGAAGGGCATCCGCTGCGTAAAAACTTGCTGGATAAGTTGGCGGTTCATTCCGCTGTGGCGACCCCGGATTAATAAAGGGACTAAGCAGACAAGAAAATTAATGAATGAATAAATAAATAAATAAATAAATAAATAAATTATATAATCGAACGAAAGAAAATATAAACAAACAAACAAAAAAATAAATAAATAAATACAATATGAACAATAAGCAAACCAGAATTAAATAAATTATTTTTTTTGTTCTTGACAAAATTAATAAGAGATGTGAACTTAAATTAAAAAGAACGTAAATTATTCTAAACTAATATTATGCTTCTCTAGCACTGGGTGATATACTGTAATATACGGAATCCCAGAAGGGACGTAGTGGAGGAGAAAATAATTGGCTGGATGAAAAAAAAAAATGGGTGAAAGAAAAAAATGGGTGGGAGGAAAATATATATTTTTAAGTTTTTGCGTTCTCTCGCAAAGTTTTGCGTTCCCTCGCAAAAATGTTTTGCATTCCCTCGCAAAAATGTTTTGCATTTCCTCGCAAAAATGTTTTGTTCCCTCGCAAAGTTTTGCGTTATCTCGCGAAGATGTTTTGTGTTCCCTCGCAAAGATGTTTTGCGTTCCCTCGCAAAGATGTTTTGCGTTCTCTCGCAAAACTGTTTCTCCAAAAACACTTCCTGTTCATTTTTCTCATGTAAACCCTCCCGTTTTTTGCCGAAATTCTCCTGTATTTTACCATTCTATCCCACTTTCTTTACATTAATACTGTGCGTCGATCGTCGCCTTTCATATGCACCCTTTGAACCAGTGAATGCATGTATAAGTGCTGACTGACAGACGCGCTCCGTACAATAAACTGATCCCAGATCAGCTTCTCTACACACCATTTACAGAGGAGCACAGAGGAGTGGGTGTATGTTTAAACAGACAAATACACTGAATAATATGTAAACATCTCCGTCCTGCATGTTTTATTTTAAACAGCTAATTTTCTCTTAAATGAGCACAAACAGATTCTAAAGTAATGGACTGCTTTCATTATTGATCTGTGCATTCTTACAGAGACACCTCTGTTATCAAACAAAACAAAACATGAGATTCATTTGCTACTCACTTGTTTGATAACAGAGGTGTCACTTTAAATGGCGCATACAGACGCTGATCTGGGATCAGTTTATTGTACGGAGCGCGTCTGTCAGTCAGCGCTTATACATGCATTCACTGGTTCAGAGGTTGCATATGAAAGGCGACGATCGACGCACAGATTTAATGTAAAGAAAGTGGGATAGAATGGTAAAATATGGGAGAATTTCGGCAAAAACAAGGGTTTACATGAGAGAAGTAAACAGGAAGTGTTTGTGGAGAAACAGTTTTGCAAGAGAACACAAAACATTTTTGCGAGGGAACGCAAAACTTTGCGATAAAACGCTAAAACTTAAATATATATTTTCCTTCCACCCATATTTTCTTTTACCCATTTTTTTTTCACCCAGCCATTTTTTTCTCCTCCACTACGTCCTTTCTGGGGTTCTGTAGTAATAACATCTCAGTATTATTATAAGTTTTAGTTTTTAGCTGATTTAGCTGTGAAATGTTTACAATATTTAGCAAATCAGCTGATATACAGGTAAGATAAAAATGATTAGCCCTCCTGGGAAATTTTTTATTTCAAATGCCTTTCAATTGATATTTAGTGGAGCAAGGAAGTTTTCTTATGCAAAAGTCTTATTTGTTCTATTACAATTTTTTTTCATTAAATTTTTTTTTATTTAGTTTTTATTGCAGAGAGATACAGTTCATAGCATCAGTAGACTTGTGTCACTTTTCCAGCTTTTCCAGTTTAAATTCCCCAATCAGGGATCAAAGAGGAAGCACAAATTTCTTCGTGACAGCCACAAAACAACATATACCTTTGCCTATCAAACATCCCTATCAAAACTATAAACCGAAGAAAGAAAACGGGGGGAGGGGGGTGAAAACAATATTAACAGTAAAAACTAATTTTAAAAATCTATTGGAAAAAGACATTAGGTTGAATGGGAGTAATGCACTCAATTCATTTAAACCACAAGTCATCAAATGTATGTTTTCGGGTGTGCACACTGTATAGAGTTTTCTTCATAATGAATTTATTTTTAAAATTAAACTAATTTCAAGGTCAATATTTTTAGCCTTCTTAAGCAATATATTTTTTTAAGGCAAGTCATTTCACTCTGCGGCCGTCTTTGAAACACCTCTCGGGCAGTATGCTCGGACATTCTGTTTGAACAGGGAAATATCAAATTGTCCAAAATTGATTGCCAAGCTTTTGATAACACTTCATATTAGGAATCAACAATTAAATTAAACATAACTGTCTTTTAGTTTCATTTCTAAACGTTTAAATCACACAAAGTCAGCAGAAATGTACGTCTGGTTTTAACCCCTGCCCCGGTGAATCGTCAGTCTACAGCGATCACTGATTCGCTCCTGTACTAGAAGGCTGGGCTTCATTTGCCATATTGACCCATTCAAATCAATACGAGTGACATGTCTTGTAAATTCTACAGTCTTTTTTTAAACAGAACTTGGGCAAAAAATATAAAAGAATAAAAATTTAACAGGAGGGCTAATAATCCTGAAAATAAACCTGTACATGCTGTTCATTTTTGTCTAATTAAATAATTTTTATATTTGTTTTTAAATTGACGTGAGTAAATCCATATAGACTATGCAACATGTTATGGGGAAAAAAGGGGTTAAATTCAACATTTTCCATTCTAATCTAGAACCATAAGGTATGCTTTTTGTAGCAGGAATTAAATTTATTACAGTAGCGATTTAAACTGGCTGCTATCATAAAAATAAGGCAAGGCAAGGTAACTTAGGCAAGTTTATCTATATAGCACATTTCATACACAGTGTCAATTCAAAGTGCTTTACATTAACAGAAATAAAAGAGAAGTAAAAGAAAATAAAAATAAATAATAAAAATAATTGAGATTAAAATGTGTTAAAAACAGGTTATAAAAGAAGTGAAGTTTATTCATAAACTAATTTCGAGAGTATCACGTGCTTATGGTTTATCACAGACGATCTTGCATTTGCTAATCACTTTCTTCCAATCATATGAGGTCCAAACTAATATAAATAGCCACAGTTTTTAGTTCACTTTATCTTCGTTTGGAAGAAACCCCCCTCCTCCCCTATTCTCCTCCTTTACCTCTGATTGGGCGGCACGGCGGCCCAGTGGTTAGCACTGTGAGCCCCACTGCAAGAACACTGCCAGCCCTGTTTCCACAGGACCGGTGGGTGTTTCTGTGAGGAGTTTGTATGTTCTCCCCGTGTCCGCGTGGGTTTTCCCCGGGTTCTCCGGTTTCCTCCCACCATCCAAAAACATTCAACATACATAACAACCAAGCTTTGTCTAATCCCTTGTGTTCCCTTAGCTACCGCAGCAGGGGAGTTTTGAGATCCACCGAGCTCAGGCTCCCCTCTTGCTCTGCCAACGGGAGGAAGTCTCTCCCGGGACAGCATGCCAAACAAGCTTTTATAAATCATCAGCTAAGTGTGAACTCTTGAATGAAGAAGAAAAGAAAGACATAACAGTGTGATCTGTCGGACATAGCATAGTAAAGGCACAGCTAAACAGATGTGTTTTCCGTCTGGATTTGAATGTGCCTAATGTTGGAGCACATCTGATCCTTTCTGGAAGCTGATTCCAGCAGCGATGGGCATAGTTGCTGAAAGCCGATTCACCCTGCTTTGACTGAACTCTTGGAATATATGATCCTAAACATCTGAGTGATCTATTTGGTTTGTTATTCAGTGAGCATATCTGTAATGTATTACGGTCCTAGGCCATTTAGTGGTTTATAGACAAGTAATAATACTTTAAAATCTATTCTGAATGTAACTGGGAGCCAGTGTAAAGACCTGAGGACAGGTGTGATGTGCTCTGATTTCCTGGTTCTTATAAGAATTCTGGTCACTGCGTTCTGGATGAGCTGCAACTTTTGTTGCGATTAAAAATTAACCTAATTGTAGGTTTTAAATTGTACATATGGGACATTTATTGTTCAACAGCAAATATGTTTGCATATGTGTGTTTTAGTCATTTTCGCCTCTAAGTTATAGCACCCTGCCCATTTGGTCTGCATGTCAGCTTGTTCACTTAAGTTTAGTGGAAACACATACACATAAGGATCGAATACACCCCTGCAGCAAAATAGAAATATATTTGAAACATTTTCTATCATTTACAGATGGAGAATATATCTGTATAATATCTGCCAGAGCATCTGACAAGACAAACCACTTCAAACGATACGTTAACTGTTTCTTAACTGTCGGCAGCTAGCTCTCTGCAACTCTCACATGGTCGCCCACTGAAGCTAAGCAGGGCTGCGCCCGGTCAGTACCTGGATGGGAGACCACTTGGGAAAGCTAGGTTGCTGCCGGAAGTGGTGTTAGTGAGGCCAGCAGGGGGCGCCCAACCTGCGGTCTGTGTGGGCCCTAATGCCCCAGTATAGTGACGGGGACTCTATACTGCTCAGTGAGCGCCGTCTTTCGGATGAGACGTTAAACCGAGGTCCCGACTCTCTGTGGTCGTTAAAAATCCCAGGATGTCCTTCGAAAAAGAGTAGGGGTTTAACCCCGGCATCCTGGCCAAATCTGCCCACTGGCCTCTGTCCATCATGGCCTCCTAACCCTCCCCATATCATGATTGGCATATCATCACTCTGTCTCCTCTCCACCAATCAGCTGGTGTGTGGTGTGCGGTCTGGCGCAAAATGGCTGCCGTCGCGTCATCCAGGTGGATGCTGCACACTGGTGGTGGATGAGGAGATCCCCCCCCCCCCATTGTGTAAAGCGCTTTGAGTGCCCAGAAAAGCGCTATATAAATGTAACGAATTATTATTATTATTATTATTCTTACAAGTTATTTTAAAAACCTTAATATAAATCATAAAAACCTGTCCAGGACAAATTAGATCATGCACTTTATCCTCATAGCAGCACTTTATCCTCATAGCATCGCTACTATTTTTCAAATGTGCTCCAATCAAGCTGTTGTATGTCGGTAAAAAAACAACATTGCCTCATTTTATTCCTCATTGTTTAAAAAAAAAAAAACTCAATGTACTGCCCAGTTCTACCCTTAACACACCCACGTGATGAAGACCCCGACAACCATAGTTTGAGGAAGGAGCATGAGAAAACCTTCAAGAAATACCAAAGCCTGCTGGTCAAACAGGAGCAGCTGCTGCGAGGTATAGCAAATGAATTGTTAGATTTGTTTTACTCTGTTTTGTAGCATCATCCATGAGGCCAGGTTTTTGTGTTCCTCCTCTTCCTCCTCCTCTAGTTGCGTTCTACTTGCTGTTAAACCTGTCTGAGGACACTCGCACCGAGCTCAAGATGAGGAACAAGAACATTGTGCACTTGCTAGTCAAGTCTTTAGACCGGGAGAATGAGGAGCTGCTGGTGCTGGTGGTCTCCTTCCTCAAAAAACTCAGCATCTTCTTGGAGAACAAGAATGATATGGTGAGACTTTTTTTAAGTTTTTATTTCACAAATGTCTTCCACAAGTGCCCCATTATGTTCAGGGCTTGCTAATTTCTGGCAGCACTTCCGGCAGGCACTCTTCAGTTTTTGGTAGCCCGAACATAAATTAAAGTAGCCCAAATAGAAAATACATTATTTATTAAATAAAAAAAAAACATACATTTAATAAATAAAAAGATATAACACTATTTGGTATAGACTATACATTTATTTTTTTTGAAAAACCAAAATTGTAATATTTAACTTTTTAAAAGTTTTTGTTTAATTATTTTTTTAAATAACTGAAAAATGATGTTAAGTGAACATTGTTTCATTGTTTATTTTTGCAGCTATAAAGACATTCTAATATGTTACTGAGTAGTTAAATATCTATATAGATGGATTATCACATTGCATGTAGATAGATTTTGGGAGCCCGACTAAAAAAAACAACAACCCCGGGACATTTGGCTACTGGATTTTTTGAGCCCTGATGTCATTATAAAGGTTGTTAATTTTATTTTGGAGGTCATGTTTAGTAAGTTTATATTCATCAGAGGTCTAAATAAACTTTTCTTATAAGTAGCATTGTAGCTTTGGCTCTTTTTAATAAATGTTTGATCAAATATCAGGCCCCGTTAAACACTTTCTTTCAGAAAGTCTTTTCTGTTTTGATTGGTTGAATTAGTTGATTTGTGGTTAGGCAAAGGATGATAATCGTTTTCAAGGTATACCGCGGTTTGGAAAAGTCAAGGTTTTAAAACCGCCAACATTTTCTGTAATAAAAAAAAAAAGATTTTTTAATTACTTTTTTTTCTTTTTTTTACTTTTAGGACAACAGTATCTCTAGCAGAAAAGATATCCAAAGATGCAGTTTTAAATTGTAAAGAAATCTGTGCTTTGAAACTAATGTTGACAGCAGAAGTCTGATTTATTTCCATTATTTAGCCTGACATGTTTACTGTTCCAAAATATTTAAAATCTTTCAAAACATAAAATATATTGTGTTCAAAAGTCGAAAAAGTTTTTGTTTTTTACCAAGACATTTAAAAAGAATATATTTTACAGCAGTAATCACAATACTGTGAAACTGTGATATTTTTATCCAAGGTTATCATACCGTCAGAATCTTACACCAGCCCATGCCTATTTGTGGTGCATTTTACCCTATTTAACGTTGTAAACATGATGATATTAAGGCCCAATCCCAATCTACCCCTTAGTCTTTCCCCTTACCCCTCATTGGTGTCCTAATTCTCTTTAGCTTGAAGGCGTAGGGCTAAGGGAAAGGCTAGATAGTTCTTGAAAAAGAGATTTGTCAAAACCAAGGGGTAAGAAAATTTCTCAGAATACACCAGCCACAACGGCATCATAGCTGCACCCAGAAGTAGAGAGATCCACAAATTAGTATTTTTTTGGTCATTATCACAAATTTTTACAACAAAGTAAAAACATGTTTTAATATATGAAAAACTGCAAAATTTCGCTATCTATAATTCATTACTACTGTACAGCAGTCCCACAACATTCTGACACTCTGTGACACTTCAATACCCTGTCAGAAAGTGTAGTGGCTGTGAATGAGCTTTTTACAGTGTCTACTATAATGTTAATGTTGTTTTCTTGCGTTTACATTAATGAATATGGCCACTGTGTAAATGCACAGTATAGTTACAATCCTGTTGTCACATTAGATCGTTATGATAACATAATATATGCCTTCAGTGATGTCCTGAAGATGTATACCAAAAAATAACAACTGCAATCACTACAGCAGTCACAATCATCAGTCTCATATTAAGCTAGATCTCATGATGACATATGATGACATCTGCTGTCCAATTTCTTATGGGTAAGTTTTGAAGCCCTTCCCCTTCACACTCTGTTTGAAGGGCCAAGGGTAAAGGGAAGGGATAGGAGTACAAAAATTAAATTGGGATTGGGCCTAACAGTAATGATGTTGTTGTTTTTTTCTATATCAATTTAAACCCAAGCTCCCATCCTTTGAAAATACCAAAGGCTATTAGCACTTACAAAAAATAAGATAAAATAATATACACAAGCTAAATTAAATGAATACCCGTGTCTCCTGATGATACATTGAGATCTTTTGAAGAGAAATTGTTCAAATAAATTAAGAGAAATGTTTCTTCTTTGGTTAAACTCTTTGAAGTATTTTTGGGAATGCAAAAAAACGTAAGCGTTTCTCCTCAATAAGGAAATATCGGTATATCGGGATGTATCTGTCATTGCTGTGAAGAGTCTTGTCCTTCGTATCCTACATGACTTCACGTTCAGTCCACCTGGAATCAATCCACACTGGCTTTAAATGAGCATTTATCAAGACAGAAGTTGTTTTTATGCCTGTGTTCCCTGTCGTAGATAAAAGGAGTGGACTTTTGGTTTTGAAAATCTTTCATCATGGTCATACATGAAAACACATGTTGACATAAGTCTGGCTTTGGTAGAAGCAACTGAGAAAAGAAGATGATTCTTTTTTCACTGCTCCAAATAATTTTTTTTCCAAAAAGATTGTTGAAATAATTTGATGTAGTTTTTTTCAGCATTAAATTTAAAATGGTTTACATATACTTGTTTGTTTGTGTGTGTGATAGGCTGAGATGGACGTCGTGGAGAAACTGGCTCATCTGGTTCCATGTGAACATGAAGACCTGATGAATGTGACTCTGCGGCTTCTCCACAACCTCTCCTTTGATACGGGGCTGCGAACTAAGATGGTGCATGTGGGACTGCTGCCCAAACTCACGGCTCTGCTCGGTAACCATTGTTTCTAAAATTACCCCCAAATTTGGTCATTTCTGTAAAAGTAATAATAATTACACCACAGGGCTGTTAAATACTTGGTTTTTATTGGCTGATGAACATTCCAGTAAGTGCAATTAATTTTAGATAAATGCACACTGTCAAACCAACATCACATAGAATCACGATTTTCCTAAAAAAAGTTTTTTCAGATTGCCCACTCCTACAGCTAAAGTAGTTCCAGGCAGGTCTTGACCGCATTACTGTTCCATATCACTACATCAAACTATTTCATTTGTTTCAAATCACACAGCCTTCAACAAAAATCAAAAATCTAATCAAAATATAACAAAAGGCTTTGGATCTAATGTGTAAGAAACTAGTGCCACACACTGAAGCATTTTGAGGACAAAAACCTCAAAACAATTGCATTGTGATAAAGCATTTGAATGGTGTCTTTACGCTTGGTAATCATAGTCCAAGCTAAATCACTGACTCTGGTCCAGCATTGAATTGTTAGTAAATAATGGCCATTAGTTAGTTACTCTACTTATATTATTGTCAGAATTACCAAATATATTAACCTATATACATTTACAGGCCACCGGTTAACGCAAATTTCAAATCAACCAATCACATGGCAGCAATTCTATGCATTTAGGCATGAAGACATGGTCTAGACCAGGGGTGGGCAAACTCGGTCCTGGAGGGCCGGTGCCCTGCACAGTTTAGCTCCAACTGTAATCAAACACACCTGCGTATAGATTTCTAGTGATCCTGAAGACACTGATTAGCATGTTCAGGTGTGTTTGATAAGTGTTAGAGCTAAACTGTGCCGGACACCGGCCCTCCAGGACTGAGTTTGCCCATCCCTGGTCTAGACGATTTGCTGCAGTTCAAACCAAGCATCAAAATGGGGAAGAAAGGTAATTTTAAGTGACTTTGAAAGTGGCATGGTTGTTGGTGCCAGGCAGGCTGATCTACTGGTAGTTTTTTGCACAACCATCTCTAGTGTTTACAGAGAATGGTCCGAAAAAGAGAAAATATCCAGTGAGCGGCAGTTCTATTGGGACAAATGCCTTGTTGATGCCAGAGGACAGAGGAGAATGTCCAGACTTTTTCGAGCTTATAGAAAGGCAACAGTAACTTAAATAACCACTTGTTACAACCGAGGTATACAAAAGTGTGCATCTCTAAAAAAAACCTTGAGGTGGATGGGCTACAGCAACAGAACACCATACCGAGTGTCACTCCTGTCAGCTAAGAACAGGAAACTGAGGCTACAATTCACACAGGCTCACCATAATTGAACAATTAAAAATTGGAAAAACATCGCCTGGTTTGATCAATCTCGATTTCTGCTGCAACATTCAGATGGTAGAGTTTTGGCGTCAACAAAATGAAAGCATGGATCCATCCTGCCTTGTATCAACGGTTCAGGCTGATGGTGGTGGTTATTTTCTTGGCACACTATGGGCCCATTAGTACCAATTGACACCACAGTCTATTGTTGCTTACCCTGTTCATCCCTTTATGCCCACAGTGTACCTATCTTCTGATGGCTACTTCCAGCAGGATAATGCATAAAGTGTCATAAAGCGAAAATCATCTCAGACTAGTTTCTTGAACATGACAATGAGTTCACTGTACTCAAAAGGCCTCCACAGTTACCAGATCTCAATCCAATAGAGCACCTTTGGGATGTGGTGGAACAGGAGAAACGCATCATGAATATGCATCTGACAAATCTGCAGCAACTGTGTGATGCTGTCATGTCAATATGGACCAAAATCTTTAAGGAATATTTCCAGTACCTTGTTGAATCTATGCCACGATGGTTTAACGCCCCATTCACACAGGGCTTCAGCTTCAACGATTGACAGAAGGCGTGTCTGAAGTTGGGGCTGATGCGATCGTCATAGCAGCGTCAGCCAGTGTTATTAGTTAGCAATAGGATACTGTCTGAGCTGGTGTATTTGCATACAGCGATCTGATTGACTGATGCTTCTGTTGGTGCTTGAAAAGTTGAGCAAGTCCCAACTTTTGCAGCAAGCAACGCCTCTGAAGCAGCGCCAACGGATCCACAATGCAGTTTGGCAACGCTTGACGTCACCCATTCAATATGAATGGAAAGCATTGAAGTTGACAGTTGTAAGGCAGTTTACTAGTAAAGTGTACCTAATAAAGTGGCCAGTGAGTATATATGCAATCCAAAAAAAATTATGCTGGTGAGTGGGCTTGACAAACCACATTTAGGAGACACGCTATTTCCTCTGTGTGCATATGTGTGTGTGCATATTTTATGTATAGAATGTGTCTAAACATTTTGAAATCTTTGAATTGGAAAGTCAGTAATGCCTGAATATTTGACTTTAAATCTGCTGTACGTACATACGATATACATACATCTGATTTTCTGTTCAAGCTGCAAAATGTAGAGTTACAGCGAAACTAAAAACCTGCTTTGGCAGAAGCGGATGCACTTGCAGAATAAACTTAAATTATGTCCATTTCAATCAGATATCCCAATTCCAGTAAAACCAAATACATTTACCAAATAGACCCACATTTACATACCATTGAAATGTGTCTGTTTTTCATTTATAACACAGTTTTTTTAATGCAGTATCAGGCATCAAGCACAATATTTCTGGTCAGTTGAGGCATGTGACACACTGCGCCACCATGCTAACAACCCTGAACTTAGACACTAGAAATCTTCTGTGCAAACTATGGCAGCACGATATTGAAAATATCTGAATTGCAATAATTTATTTTTCTGCAATAAATATTGAGATATGAATACAGTTTCACAAGGTAGTTATATTAGCACTATGTGACAGTTTTCTGGGGAGTCTTAACCGTATTCAGGAACAAAATTAAATAACCACATTTCATTTTTGGTCCAAATATCTAAAAACTCGTAAGAAAAAATTGTTTTGTTTTCAACTTGAGAATAAATAAGTCAAAATTCCTTAAAGCAAGCACAATGATCTCCCAGTGAGGTAAGTTGAATAATTTTGTCTTCACTTTGAAATGTAGATATCTGGACTGAATACAACACAAAAATTCTAAGTTAGAAATACCTTTTTTTTTTTTGCATAAATCATGTATATTCTGTATAAATACAGTAATTAAATACAATTCTGTTGCTCCTGAACAACTACAATTCAGACTCAACACTGCATATCTTGCGATATGACCATTGCAGATGCGCGTTGCAATATCGATGCTGAAACCATATATTGTGCAGCCCTCGTTTAAACTTAGAAACGTACACAAAAAAACTAGCTATACAATAATACTAATTAAAACTAAACTAAAATTCACAGCAATATTAAAAGTAATGCTGAAATAAAATAATTAAAAACATTGAAAAATGCAAATCTATAATAACCTTGCAGTGAAGTCTCTTTCTTATAGAGGTTTTTTTTTTTTTTTTTTGGAAGCATCCCTCCTGTGTCGCTAATTAAATAAACCAAGCAAACCACTTCTCTCCTTTTCTTTACCTACTCGGCTTTCCCTCACATTTTTTTTCATTCCAACATCCTCAGCAGTTACATCTGTTTCTAATCCACAATGTGATAATGTGTTTTAGGGTGTCTCAGGTCCCGACTGCGGCGCTCAGACTCATTATGAATGATTACGCCACTGATCTGAGTGTGTTTCCTATCACACAAGGGAGGATCAGTATTAGGAAAGAAGAAGAAGAAGAGAACAGAACAGCGCAAAGTGTTATTAATGAGACTGTTTTTGAGTGTGTGTATCAGTGCTCTTTTTCTCCCTAGCGGAATGAGTTTGGATTGTAATCACATACCACACATGCTCTTATCTGCAGTCGCTGTGATAAATGACTCGCTCTCGGCACGAGCCAGTGTAAATACATTATCTAACCCACCATGACTGATCAATTTAGATATGGCTTTAAAAGTGTACATGCACATTGATTTCTTACTGTTTTTTTTTTTTTTTTTTTGTAGGTGACGACACACACAAGCTTGTAGTGATGCGCATCCTTTACCACATCAGTGTGGATGACAAATCCAAATCCATGTTTGCGTACACTGACTGCATTCCTCAGGTCAGCAACCTTTTCTCTTTTCTTCACTCTTGGGAATGTTGAGATTAGGGCTTTTGATAAGCAATTCATCTGTTGTTTGTTTCTTAAAGGGACAGTACACCCATCAATGAAAATTCTGTCATTATTTATTCATACTCTACTCGTTCCAAATTAGTTTGAGTTCCTTTCCTCTGTTAAACATAAAAGAAGATGTACTGAAAAATGCTGGAAAGCAGCAACTATTAACTTCCATAGTATTTTTAGTTTGATTGTTTGTTTGTTTCTACTAATCGATCAATGGCTGTTTTTTTTTTCCAGCATTCTTTAGAATATCTTGTCTTGTATTCAACAGAAGAAAGAAATTCCTAAATGTTTAGAACCGTTTGCGTTGATGTTTTCATTTTTGGTTGAATTGTCCATTGAAAGGAACTAGGTTTTGAGCATCTTTCCCAATACAAAGGTAATGATCAACATGAGCTCATTTTAAAAATGTAGCCCTATATAGGTTTCTGGAGATCTTGAATTATGTCGCCAGAGCTACTTATGGCTGCATTGCATCTTTAAATCGAACAATTCGCAGGGCTCAAAATTAACTTGTTTATTTGGTAGCACCGGTGCTTCCAATTTAAAATATTTAAGAGCAACAGAAAAATCTTAGTAGCACCCACCAAAAATGAATGAGCACTGCTGCAAATTGTATTTTAAGGGATTTATTGAATTCGAAAACAACATCAATTAGGATTGACAAACAACTATCTAACTAATGGTTGGAAACTTCACAGAATGTGAACTGGAGGTGCTCCAATCAAAGGTAGACTGGAGAAAAACAGTGGAGTGTTATTTGCAAGTTTGTCTTCCGGAATTAATAACAAAAGGAAAAAAAATAGAGAGATATAAATCAAATCATTATTGAATACTTTCATTATCAAACTCATCATTGGCTGTTTACATTTACCGCAGTCAATATAATAGTGCAAATCTGTGATTGTCCGCATAGTTTGTCACACAAGAGGCAGATCAAAATGTGTTTTATTGATTGTAAAGTGCTTATTGTGTTTGTGGTGTAGGCAATGGTTGTATATGAAATTAAATAGAAGTCTAAAATGGGTTACAGCAGCACAGTATATACTTGATCGTCTTTCCTAACTAAAATGATGTATAGATTTAGTGTTCTCTCAAGTATATGCCTACTGTACTACACTACAAGGTTATGCCATTCCAAACCTGGTTTTGGTTCTGCGGTGTGTGTCATGCATGTATCGTATGTGTTGTAAAGTGTGCTAATTGTAGTGCTGTCTTTCTCTCACATTGCGTTAATGAAATAACAGAGCTAATTTAATAGAAGGGGGCCTCAGCAGGGTCACCGGCAATTGCCTGGGTACAATTTCTCTGAAACAACTTGTGCCCGAGCGAGTTGTCATCTTTAAAATGCTTGTCTTCTCTAATTGGGTGAAAATGCCTACCAGATGCTTGTTAAAAAATAAAAATTCCTCAGTGTAATCGCTCCACCAATCCGCCTGGAGACGATCAGGGCATGATGTCAGAATAGCAGTGGGACTCTTTAGGGAGGTGTACTCTTTGCTTTTTCTTTCTTTCTTTCTTTCTTTCTTTCTTTCTTTCTTTCTTTCTTTCTTTCTTTCTTTCTTTCTTTCTTTCTTTCTTTCTTTCTTTCTTTTTCTTTCTTTTTCTTTCTTTCTTTTTCTTTCTCTTTTTCTTTCTTTCTTTTCTTTCTTTCTTTTTTTCTTTTTTCTTTCTTTATTTTTCTTTCTTTCTTTTCTTTCTTTCTTTTCTTTCTTTCTTTTTTTCTTTTTTCTTTCTTTCTTTCTTTTTCTTTATCTTTCTTTCTTTCTTTCTTTCTTTCTTTCTTTTCACTATAAATAATGCTGGGTTCCAAACAGTCGATTTCAGTTGGGACAACAGGAAAAAGCTAAGTTCACCTATATGCTTTAAGTAGATTGAACATTAAACAATTAAGTTATCCCCAAAAATATTAGGAATCATATTTTTTCTTCTAATTTTTAAAGTAGTTTAAACAAACAGTAAACTTCTTTCCACGATTTTTTTTGTTTCATATTCTATGCTTTGTTCATTTTAGTTTAATGCACTCAAAAGAATTGTTTTGCTGCTTATTTAAAATAAGCTGAAACAACACAGTTCTTGCGAACTAACAAATTAACTTAATTCCTTTATTGAACCCAGCATTTTTTTACAGTGTGTTTACTTTAACTTTTTCTTTCATAAATTTTTTATTTATATTTTTTGGTTTTGTATCATAAAACACTTTGGTTTTTTGTTTGTCATTACATTGATTGTAGCTATCTTTGTTTACAAAAAAAAAAATTGTATGCGTGCATGTGTGTGTGTCGGTGGTGAATCTGGTGTCCCTCAGGTCTATGTTGGCAGTGATCCTGGTCCGTCTTTTGAAAGTGAGGATTTAGATCAAACATCCTCCAGCTCTAGGTCTTGAACTGGTGAGCAGAGGCCCGGCATTGGACCTATTCCTCTGCCACAAAGAGGTCTCGCAGTAATTACTCAAAGCTGTGAGGTGTGTGTGTGTGTGTGTGTGTGTGCGCACGTGTGCGCGTGTGTGTGTGCGTATGTGTGTGTGAGGAAACGCTTGCAGGGGTTATACAGAGCTATGAAACCATGGAGAGCTCAGAGACGGGGTTGATGACTCAGGGGTACGAATCAGGGGCCTCCCATTGCTGGTAAATAGGAGCAAGCAGGTGCCAGTGAGTCTAGACTGCGTGATTTGGAGGCCTGGGACCAGGTTATGTGATACTCAATATGGGAGAGGCCTGATTGCTCACTGCTGCCTCTTCACAGGCCTGCACTGGTCTGCTCAATTCAATTCTAGTTTATTTGTAAAGCGCTTTCTATGATGCATATTACATCAATGCAGCTTCACAGAAAGAAAGCACGAATCTTCATTAGAGTAATGTGGTTATTGTGTCAATGTAATGTCCACATTCCAGAAATGCAGTTTTGAGATTGATACAGACATGCAGGTAATGATGGTTTTGAAACCAAAATGAGCTTTTTTAAAGCCAATATTACATTCTGTGTGCATGGTTACGATGTAAGGACAATTTTAAGTTTAAAGGTCCTGTAAAGTGCTTTGAAATGTGCATTGTTTTTTGGGTGGGATGTTTGACCATCCCAATTGACACATGAAGACAGGAAGGGACATATAGTAGCTCCTTCCCTTTATAAAAACAGCCAATAGCGTTTAATTTTTTTAATCACAGCTTTGCCAGTGAGAGTGGTTTAGCTCAAGCATCAAATGGAGAGCAAATAAGAATCGTCTTGAAGGGGGCGGAGCATGTCAGATACTAGAGAGCAATTGATTGGTCAGATGATTTGATAAAAAACGGATGTCCAAAAAATCTGTCTTCTTGGGAAAAAAAAACACTCTTTTGAAGCACACTAGATTATAGAAATCATCAAGACATAACATACTTAACATCTTTAAAAAATATATTTTAATTTCACTGAACCTTTAAAAGTTGATCATGGGCTCTATTTTAATGATCTAGGCGCAAAGTCTAAAGTGCATGGCGCAAAAGCATTAAGGGTGTGTCCGAATCCACTTTTGCTATTTTAAGGATGGAAAAATACAGTTTGCGTCGCAGCGCATAGTCTAACAGGGTTGAGCTTATTCTCTAAGTGAGTTATGGCTGTGTTTTGAGCATAACATGCATTAAACTAATCAGAGTCTCATCTCCCATTCCCTTTAAGAGTCAGTTGCGTCGCTCCATGGTGTATTTGCTATTTACATGGCGGACTTTGTAAGTGGAAAAACTGAACGCTTTATTCGCGAGAAAACTATTAAACAAGTCATCTGCAGCGTGAGGATAAAGAACAAGCCTCCTCCATTCAGCCTCTTTACCTTCTCTTTACCTTACTCTTTACATTCGTAGATTAAAAAACTGTGTTGTTTGCACTCCACTGAAGACATCCATTAGCCTACATATTTAATTTAATTTGTAAAGCACAAAGATTTGTTTCAAAACTATTTCTAACTTCAGTTCTAATTTCCAGCAAACTAATAAATAATCAATAATAATGAAGTGTGGTAAAAAACTGAGTTATATCCAAACACACCGTCCTATTCTTATGCTTCATATGGTGATGCATACGTCTCCAAAACCCGACAAGTGGACAAATCTAAACTTGCTAAAACAAATATAAATTTGCATATGATAAATTATACTGATAATAATAATAATATTATACAAATGCAAATTTTCATGATCAAACAGAAAAAAGCCCCCTGAGGTGAAGAAGGCATGGAGGCTGTGGTTTTTATATTTATGTAGTAAATAGTAATTTTTATAACATTTAAATTATAATTTTTTTATATATATATATATAAAGATATTTGTGTATTGCTGTAAATCCTGTGTTTATTAAGCAATGTGTAAGCCTTTAGACCCACATAGCCACATAACTGATGGACTGTGGACCTGCTTTCAGTTGGTCAACGGCATGGTTTATTTTAGTTCCTCAAAATAGCAATGCACCAGCAATGTGCCTTAACACACCTTCATTTTAGACCAGCACATCCATAAGTCCTGACAATGGACTTGATATTTAAACAGCATGGTGCAAAACGTGAAAATTAGGGTTGCTCTGGTGAAAATAGCAACAAATCACACCAAACATATCTTGTGCCTTATTGCGCCGGGTGTATGATAGAATTAACACATTGTGCCTTAGTGTTGGCACATTATGAGCTCCTCATAGGTGCCATCATCAAATCACAAGGGCATGGGGACACCTGACATTTTTTGGTGCTGGCATAATCTCTTCTCCTCAGAATTAGTATCTCAAGGTAGACGCAAAGAGCAAATGGAAAACAATTCATAGCTTTCTGTGTAACACCCAACATGACTATGCCTAGTGGAGCAACTCATTTATTTTCTCATCTACTCTTTCCATTGTTCACCCCCACACTCATGTAATTCATTGGCTAGTTATCTTCATAAAACAGTCCTGCCAAGCGTGTCTCTTTGGGCCTTTATCAGCCGCAGTGTTGATCTGATTGAAATGGACAGTGGGATATTGTCTCAACTCTTGCTGGCTCTTAAATAAAAACACAAATAATAATCCCTTCACCAGCACTGACAACACTAATACTTCTGCTTGTCAGGAACCGTCTGTTTCATCGTTTATTTCTTTTCTTTAATTCTTTTTAATTATTGCGCATGATTATTTCCAACGTTTATATTAAATGAAGGCTCTAATGAATATGTGCACACCTATGCGCAAAACACTGCCTTAAAATTGTAAAGCAAATATTTTAAATACTAGAGCTGTGGCGAAAAATTTTAGCCAATTTTTATTTGATGCGCCATGTTAAATGTTGTTCACTTGCCTTGAGCTGCTGAAGTTACAGTAAAACATGATTTGGTGGCACTCAAGCACAAAACGATATAGCCGAGCACACAGGTATTGCAGATCAAATAGAATTTGATAGCTTGTAACTTTTTCCCACAATCTTTTGGACAGGTGTTTGTGTGCTGTAGTGGAGAAGGTTAAGCAGAAGTGGAAAGGTTTAAGCTATAAATACTTGAGCTGAGGAGAAATTCAAAGATTATCAAAATGCATTGCAATTCTCTCTTGAATCATTTCTGAGCTTATGTTTTAACAGAAGATTTCACTGTATGCTTTACAAACATCTGTACTCTGCTTGCATCCGATTCTTTACAAATACCACCTGTACCTAAACAATCATTAATAAAGTTTGAAAACAGAATTACAAGAGTGTTCATAGTAAGCTGTGTCGTAACGTAAAAGCCAACTTACATGACTTACAATTGCTAAAGCCCTGTCCCTGTTGTTGTCAGCATTTGAGCTCTCTGCTGAAGCATTTCATATTCAATCAATGACAGATTCAAGATTTCACTCTTGGCTGATGATTGATTATAAAGCTTGTTTGTCAAGCTGTCTCGGGAGAGAGCCCTGAGCTCATAAGACCCTCGAGCCCGGGGCTCCCTCCTGTTAGCAAGGCGAGAAGGGAGTTTGAGCTCAGGTAGATCTTAAGATCTCCCCTGCTGTAGTAGCTAATGAACAGATAGTGATTGCTCTTAAGAGATAACGACTTACTAGGAGCATGTCTATGGTCCTGATTTGGATTAGTCAATTAGCTTATGTTGCACGTTTTTGGAAGGTGGGAGGAAACTGGGAATCTGAGAGAAACCCCTATGAGCAAGGAGAGAACTTGCCTAAACTGGCAGTAATCGTCTGATTGGTGAATCATACATTGAATAATGCCGTAAGCTCGTGATCCCCTCGAAATTACTTTATAAATAAACTTCACATTAGAGGTCTGCGGTCCGTCATACTGTATCGTGAAAATCACGGGACCTGACCAGATTTGTTTTGGTGCGGTAATAAATTTCCGAATAAAATGCGGGAGAGGTCAGTAACTGGTATATTTTTGCACGGGAGCGGGCGGTCTAACAATATCGCTTCCGACTCCTGAGCGAGCGAGCACGCGTATGTATATGTGTGAATGAGACAGCGTGGTGCTCTGTATATATTCTGTATATCTGGGTGATTTTCGGTTTTGTTCTCCATCCGCCCATTAGCAGGAACGGGCATGGCGGGTAGAAAACGGAGCGGGTCGGGCAGCAGGACAACGAATACTGAACATAAGCGGGAGCGATCAGGTTCGGACTAAAACCTGGCGGGTACAGGCAGGAGCGGGATTCAAAATTTAGTCCGGCGCAGATCTCTACTTCACATAACGATGAAGCTCATTTTAAACTCTCAGAATCAATGCAGAATGGATTTCTCAAATGATTTTCCACTGCATCTCTAATAAAAGCACAGGGAAAAAGCATAAGGGTGACCTCTTCAGTGAAATAAGTGAGTGTCAGAAGTTTAAAGTTGCACACCGTCACATTATGTACTGGGGTTTTTCTGCTTTTTTGTTAAGAGCTATCTAATGTCAGGAAGTGATTTTGCTATTAAAATTGCTTGAATGTCAAAAAAGTTTTCAATAAGCTTGAGCGACATCCCATTGTGTACAATGCTTTATAACATGCTTCAATAAAACTGTGTTGTCAAGCTTTGGACCCCCCCTCCCCTCCCCCACCTGTTCTGATAAGACAAACTGTTTTAGACTACTAAGATTTTTTTTGGTACTGGTCTATCATGCAGGTGTCAGTTGATATTAATGTTCCTGTTTGTATAATCGTATAAAATATTTCTATTTTTGTCAACTCACATTTGTGTTACTTTTATTTGCGGCAGCTCTTTGCCATACCGTTTAGGTCTGCTTTACCTTTGGTGTTTCATTTTTTCGGTTTTGATTTTTCTTACAAGACAACTTCCTCAGAGATTGAGGATTGAAATGAATATCTATTTGACAATGTTTATGTGTTTGGTCTTGGTGGCATAGATCTGCTATGCTGCTGCTGCTGCTTTGATTATTAGTGCAGAGCATGTACCAATACTTACTGCTGCCAGTATATTCACAGATATATAAGACTGAAGGGCTACTAACCTGGATGTACTTTATTCTGCGTATGCATAGATATTGGCCACAAAACATAAAAAATTGACACAAAACATTGTTCTTAACTGTAATAGTTTATGTAATAGCACATTATTTAGTCACAAAATAGCACCAAACAGTCAAAAACGCAAAGCTGACAAAAACGAAACTGGCTGGAACCTAAGAATTATTCACACCATAGCGAGGTGTCAAGGTTTATTTGAAGTTCTCAGGTGAGCCTGCATTATTTAGCAGTTGTTATCTCGGAATAACATCTTTGAATGTGGTGTCAGACCAATCAGAAAATTAGTATTCCTGGTAGCCATGTAATAGAAGAATATAACACACTGCAGCTGCAAAAATAACATACATGAAACATAGACTGGTGGAGCTGAGAGGGCGGAGGGCATCCAAAAAAACATGCTGCAGGTTGCTTACTCGACAATTAAATATTTAAATGTTGAGGAGTAAGCTCATTGGTTTTTTGAGGCAACACCAGTTTTAAACAGTGCCATGTACTGTAGTTGAAAGTAGATTTCATACCGTATGACTTCTCAGTCTGTGCACCCAATAGAGCTTCATGACAAGACTTTGTATTTATATTTTTACACTAACTATAGTAATTTACAAAGAAATTCTGTGTTGTGTGTGTGTGTTTGTGAGCAGCTCATGCAGATGCTGTTTGAACATGGTGAAGAGAGAATCGACACTGAGCTCATCTCCTTCTGCATCAACCTGGCTGCTAACAAGACCAACTCTCAGATTATGTGTGAAGGTACAGTAAGAGACTGTGTCTCATTTTCACCTTAACACTGAGTTGTTAGAAGCATTGACCTGTGTGCTTTATTGTACTGTCACTGATGATCTTCTGTAATGAATAATACATGACATCTGTTCAAATGTATGATCAGTCTCCAGCTGAACATGAATGTTTGTGGATTTGTTTTGCAGGCAATGGACTGAAAATGCTAATGAGAAGAGCACTTAAACTAAAGGACCCACTGCTAATGAAAATGATTAGGAACATCTCACAACACGATGGACCTCTGAAACAGCTGTTCATTGTAAGTACATTATTTCTGACAATTCTACAAAAAATACTTATTAGCATATTAATCATGTGATTACAATGACTTTTATCATTCACTTTTAAATGAAAAACTATTAATTCTGTGGAACACAAGAGATCGTGAATACAATTCAAATGTAAAATCAGGGCTGCGCAATATATAGTTTCAGCATCAATATTACATTTTGTACATTCTCAGTAGTCGCATCGCAGGATGTTCAACATTGAGTCTGGATTATAATTGATTAGCAACAAAGTTTAGAACATGTGAGATTTGTGGAGTTACTGCACAGTTTAACCATGAAAGAGTGAAAGTTTATCATTTGTTTTAAGGCCTGTGACTGTGAGAATTTCAGAAGTTTAAAGCATTTAGGCAAAACAAATTGTAACATTTGTAACTTTAAGGAAGGTTTTATACAATGAAGACCATGTTATTTCACATTTGATTATTCAATTTCTTTAACTAAATACTGTGTACTCCCCCAGAAAACAATAAAGCACTATTTATTACACAATTATTTTTGTATCTACTTGTAACACATGGTGAAACTGTATTCACATTGCAATATATATCGCAGAAAAACAAAATTTTACAAAGTATTACAATGCCAAAAATGTTTTCAATGTTGTGCAGCGCTATTTAAAATATTTACAAAATATGTTATATGTATATTGACAGCAAAAAAAAAATTGTAATTTACTGTTTTAATGATGATTTGGTGTTGTGTACTCTTCAGGACTATGTGGGTGATCTGGCAGCTCAGATCAAGAAAGAGGGGGATGAGGAGTTTGTTATTGAGTGTTTGGGCACAATGGCAAACCTCACCATACCTGACCTGGACTGGGAGCTTCTACTGAAAGAATACAACCTGGTGCCCTTCCTTAAAGACCACCTCAAACCAGGTACAGTTAACATGAGCCTTATGTGTTTGATGTAAAAGACAGCACAGATACAATTGTTAAGGTTATTAGGGAAATCTGCTCTTTATGAAAGGTTCAACTCTGTTTCAAGGGACAAATGGTGCTCAATAATAGGTGTAGCTTCTCCTGCTGCATCTCACACAAAAGCAGCAGTGACAGACAAAAAGAAAGCAGTTCTCCCTTACTTAATATTTGTTGTGGAGTTAATTCAAGCCTTTCTGGAATAATGAGTCACACACATTGTCCTTACAAAATATGCACACACACATACACACGTTTAGCTGTGCACTGTTTTTGCACGGCAAATGTGACATGATACACGTTAGTATCCACTGGACGCCCATTATGCTAATGTACAAAATAAACATTAGATAGAATCGTCTTCTTTTATAATTGTACTGACACTATGTGGCTGCGGTAATGAATTATGTAGCGATTTTACTGTCTATTACAAACTGATGATCACAGAGAGCTGAACAGATCTTTTAATCCTGGTTGCTTTTTGCACATGCTGTGCTGTCTTGATATGATTACAGGCGTTACTGTAGAGACATGTTCATATGTGGCTGTTTATCAATTCAGCGGGTGTTGAAAAACGCACTCCTATGTTACATTGTGGTGGGCCTCTAAATGGGAGAGATTTGGATTCTATTTTAACGTCAGGAAATTAAAAAAAGACCTATTGCGTTGATATTACCACAATATGACTGTTGACTTACTATACCTACACACAGCTCTGTCCAAACAGCTAACAAAAGATGATTTTCATCATAGGTGCCCTTTAAATTTAACAGCATTCAGAATCAATATTCAGTGTAGAAAAAAGTGGAGCTAAAATGGAAGTGTGTGTGTATTTATATTTATATATATGTATATATATATATATATATATATATATATATATATATATATATATATATATATAATATAGTGACTCTAAATGTAATAAATATAGTGAATGTCTCTATAAAACAACATTTAGCCTAAGTAAACTTGAGTAAACTGAGTCTAGTTGTCTGTAAAAAATGATATAGAGATCATTTTTAATTTTAATTTTTTTTTAAAGTGTGACTTTCTGAAGCATGTGAAAGGACATTTCTTGTTTAAGCAGTACAACGCATCTTTTTTCATCATGTCACACAGTATTTGACCTTTGTTCTCTGTGTGTTTCAGGCTCAGCAGAGGATGATATGATCCTGGAGGTGGTTATCATGATCGGTACGGTTTCAATGGACGACTCCTGTGCCGTCATGCTGGCGAAATCCGGAATCATTCCTGCTCTTATTGAACTACTCAACGGTAAGAGCTCTGCCAGCCTTTACATACATTTATTATCACAGAGCCAGTGCTCAAAGAAAACAAAACTGATCTCCAAATCTTTTTCATTATCGCTAGCCGTAAAAACAAATTCCAGAGGAAAAGATCAACAGTGTTTGGATTTCAGCTTTTGTTTGACCCTCCTGCTTTGCGTGTCTGTAGCCTCTCAAGTACCAGATTTCAATTTGGCGTGCTTTGTCTTGCCTAATGGGATCTGATGAATAGTTTATTTAGACTAAACTAATATTAAATTAAAATGAATTAGAATAAATAAACAGGCCTTAGTCATATTGTGTGCTGGGAAGTGACAGTGTCTTCAGGAACAGGAAAGCGCCGGGCTCATGGCATGCATCACATTTGCTGGATCTGCTCAATATGAGCGCTCATTTCAATAAATGCCTGATGGCAGGGCTCGTCCTTGCCATGGAAAGAAGTAATGTTTTAGAGGCTTGGGAGGTGGTGAGCTAAAGGCCAAATAATGTTTTTTTTTTTTTTTTACTGTTAGTGGACTCTGAAGTGGACTTCATTTGATTATTTGACATTTTAAGTGAGAGTCATTTCTGAAGGGAGCAAACAAATTAAGTGCATCCCAAATTCCATGCTTATGCTTGGTTCAACACCATTTTGTAATATATATAGTATAAGTAGTGTATTCACACTGACAATTCTATAAATAGTATGTGCCATTTTAATTCTTGGATGATATATTTATTCAACCAATAAAATTAAGTGTTAATAGTTGAACAGTCAATGGTCACAGCTTTGATAACAGAGCAGAAGTGGAGGAGCTATCAGGTGCTGAGATTGGATTACTTTATTTTGGATTGTGCAAGCAACATGATCTAACAGAGATTACACCGCCTCCCCTACCAATGTTAAATGCAGTTGAATTGAGGTATTATTTATTAGTTTGGTGATTTATTTCACTAATTTAGCAACTGTTAAATGCTGTCTTGGAAATTGCTTGAATTTGTGGTTAGTATTTTTTTGGGGGGGATGGCATCAAACTCAGACAGTACATAGTGCATATATAAGTGTGTAGTGTAAAAGTGCACATTGTGTCGGCGCCAGTGGTGTAGTGGTTAGTGCGTCTCAGGTGCTTGTGGCGACCCGGGTTCGATTCCGCCTCCTGGTCCTATGCCGATCCTTCCCCTCTTTCTGCACCCCATGCTTTCCTGCCAATTCTCTCTGTCCTATCAAAAATAAAGGTGAAAACCCCGAGAAAAAAAAGGGCATATGATATTATGTGCAGTTTGGGTTACAACTTTTAGATGGACACTGTGCATAGAATAATGAGTAAGGAATAATGGTAGCATCAAGGGCTGCAAAAATCTGACGTTGATATATGAATACAGTTTCACAATGTAGTTAGGATAGCACTATTTGATGTATTTCTGGGGAGCCCACTGAAGCTAAGCAGGGCTGTGCCCGGTCAGTATCTGGATGAGAGACCACATGGGAAAGCTAGGTTGCTGCTTTAAGTGGTGTTAGTGAGGTCAGCAGGGGGCGCACAACCTTCGGTCTGTGTGGGTCCTAATGCCCCAATAGTGACGGGGACTCTACTGCAAGGTGAGCTCTGTCTTTCGGATGGGACGTTAAACCCAGGTCCTGACTCTCTGTGACCATTCAAAATCCGAGGATGTCCTTCTAAAAGAGTAGGGGTTTCACCCTGGCATCCTAGCCGATTCTGCCCACTGGCCTCTGTCCATCATGGCCTCCTAACCAACCCAATATCATAATTGGCTTCATCACGCAGTCTCCTCTCCACCAATCAGCTGGTGTGCGGTCTGGCGCAAAATGGCTGCCGTTGCGTCATCCAGGTGGATGCTGCACACTGATGGTGGATGAGGAGATTCCCCCCAATGTGTATAGCGCTTTGAGTCCTCAGAAATTGCTATATAAATGTAAGGAATTACTATTATTAATTATTATTATTTTTAAAAATGCTTTTCTTTAAATGGTCTTGTTTCTAGTCCAAATATCAAAAAAAATAAATTTTGTTTTCAAAATGAAGAATTTTTCTTTAAAGCAAGCAAAATGATCTGCCAGTGAGGTAAGTAAAATAATCTGGTCTTCGCTTTGAAAAATATCTAGATATCTGTAGAAATCTGGACTAGAAACAAAACAAAAATTGTAAGTAAGAAAAAAAATTCTATATCATTATTGCGCATGTTCATTATGACAATACATTGAATTATTGCATAATGCAAATGTTAAATATTATAGAAAAATTTTATATTGTAATTTTCCTTATTTGAATGACAAAATGAGAAATTTAAAATTAGATTAAATAGCAATAGAAAGAGGATTGGTAAACGTATTTAAATTAAAATCTTAATTCAAACAAAGTCAATCAATGGCTGCAGCAGATTACTAATTAACCATTTCCAGCGTAATATGTATTTGCTAATCAGTAAATTAAAAAACAAACAATCTTTGTCAAAATTTTGTGAGCAGTCAAGCTAAGGTAGTTAAAGAACTCCCACAATTGTATTTTAAATAAATATAAAGACATTTTTATCACTCATAAAATATGGATAGAGCTAGTGAATGTATTTCACAGTGGTGAATCAATAGTGTTAAAGCCCAATATCAAATGGATTTACTTTCAAAAAAGCTGTACTTTCACATGCACGATGGGAAAAAAGGATAAAAGTCTACTTTGAGCTTAAGTTAAAAACCGTCCCAAAACACACAGAGAAAAAGAAAACAAACATCCTGAATTGGCCACCCTTTTGTTATCCTTCTCAAGACACAATGGTCTCAGTTACATGACATACAACATCTGAAATGTTTTCGCACTACATGCCATGCAATATTTTATAACTTTGATCACAACAATGCAATAACAAATCTGACATTTGTTTCCCTCACGATAAGCAGTGTGTGGCAATGGTGCATTGATAGATGCTTGGGTATTGTTGTATTTACACTCATGGTTTCATCACTTGTGTTCGTGTACTAGTTGGTTGGCTCTGAAGAGGCGTTGACGTGTACTCTCTGATGTTATTTGTAGCTTGTGCAAAGCTTGCACAGCTCCTTGCTGTAGCCGTATTCAGTTTCTTCTCCCATGGAGACGCTTTTTTGCTATCATTCTTCTGGAGGAATTTTCATCCCATGAGACCAGATCATTCTGAGCCAGATCAAAATTGAAATAAAGGCTTTTATTAAGGTTAGGAGGGGGGGCAGCATCAACCGCACACTTCTCCATAGGAGCTTTCGGTATCATTTCAGAGGAAAAAGTTGATACTCTGCCTAAATGGCGGCTTCTCACGAGAACCTTCATACATAAACATGATCCACCAGTGGAGGTTTTGAACGTCGGCTCAAATGAACACGGGCTTCGTCTGATAGGAAATGCCTGCGCAGCTTTGCTAAAGCTTTCATATTTGTTGGTCTGCTGTATCGCATCTCTGCTTAAGAAGATAGTTGTCTCAAAAATATTAATTCTGCCCTTCAAGTTGTTCCAAAGCTTCATGCAATTTTTTTTCCCCCTGTTGGCCACAAAAGGTTTCAAAAGCTGTGAAAATCATACTGTTACGTGTTTAAGTTATTAGGTTATGAGTAATAAGTAATGAGACGTAAAATTCAGTGAGTCCCTAATGATGCTGGATGAAAATGAGAAGACAACAGCTGGATAAGTGAAACAAACAGAGCATGTCAAACAATGAATATAGGAAATTAGAATGTCATTTTAAATAATCAAATTAAACGAAAAACAGAAGTGTTGCCAAAGCAAGGAAATAAATATAACAAAACGATCTAACTAAACCCCAAACCACTAAACTAACTAACCAAAGAAAAATGCAGAAACAAAACCGTAATCTTTAGCGCGACACTTAACTAAACTTCATAACTACTTCAAAAACATAATTACTGATGTAGCAACTCCTCCATAAACCAACTACAGAAATATACTCTGCTGCTCAAAATTACTAGATTTCTCGTAAAGTAGTACACACTGTTAGCCATTAGCAAAACAAGAGCTTAGTTGATAATCCAATTCTCATAAAGATCGTTCAACTTCTCAATAAATACTAAATTGAGCTGCACAAGCTTACCTAATAAATAGATCACCTAATCGAGAGAGACTAAACAATGACAGCAACATCGACAAAACTATACAGACACAAATGAACAGGCCGGCCGACACAAGTGAGCAACACTGCTGAACAGAAAACAAACACTAAACATACGTGAACTGTAACAATACGTAGCCCTGTCACTATATGAATTTTTTGTTGTATGATATATTGCACCAAAATATATTGCCATAAGTGATATTATTGTCATTTTGAGACCATTTTATACCATTATAAAAGGTATTTTTAATTAGGGATTGGTGTCAGAATGTGAAAGCGCATTTCCTAAATAAATAATAATAACATATGTTATCAAAAAAGTGAAAAACTGATGCTATTACTATATCTATTTTCAGTTGTCAGACACCCACATGAAAATATACTATAGTAATTTATAGTAAATACTAAAGTGTTCTTTTAACCATACTGACACTGACACATCCAATAGTGATAGGGAGACATTACACAATTAACTTAAATGTTGCTAGAATTGTTTTATGTATGGGCAATATATATCGCATCACCAAAAATGATTGAGGTCATTTCCATGTGTCGTGCGATAAGTCGATATATTGATTTTTGTGACATATCTAGTCATACACTGTAAAAGGTCATTCATTCCTTACATTTAATATGTACACTTTATTTAATAAAATGAATTAGATTTTTTCAAATGGCTGTCTGTTAAATCTATTACATTTTATTATAAAAATTTGCATAATACTTTTGAATAATTTCTAAAAGAGAAAATATTTAGTAAATTCAACAAGATTAAAATGAGCACTTTTTCCCTTTTATAACACCCATAGCTGGCTTAAATGCTAAAGGGCACAATTTAAACCATTAACCACTGTAATTTAATCATTTATATTCATGACGCCTGCACCAGAGTTTCCCTGGGGACAATGTCTTTAGAATTGGCACAATCTTATTTATTTTTTGTTAACTCATTCTAACACTAGAAAGTGACTAGTTAACTATTAAAAAGCAAGTAACCCCATTTTTTATTAACTAAATGAAATGATAAAAAAGTCTAAATTATATATATATATATATATATATATATATATATATATATATATATATATATAGTTGAAGTCAGAATTATTAGCCCCCCTTTTAATTGTTTTTTCTTTTTTAAATGTTTCCCAAATGATGTTTAACGGAGCAAGGACATTTTCTTAGTATGTCTGAATGTCTGATAATATTTTTTCTTCTGGAAGAAGTCTTATTTGTTTTATTTCAGCTAAAAAAAAGGCAAATTTTAATTTTCTGAATGCCATTTTAAGGACTAAATTATTAGCCCTTTAAAACTATGTTTTTTTTCGATAGTCTACAGAACAAATCATCATCATACAATAACTTGCCTAATTACCCTAACCTGCCAAGATAACTTAATTAACCTAGTTAAGCCTTTAAATGTCACTTTAGGCTGTATAGAAGTGTCTTGAAAAAATAGAAATTAGTTATTAACTATTATGTTTAGAAATGTGTTAAAGAAATTTGTTCTCCGTTAAACAGAAATTGGGGGGAAAACAAACAGGGGGCTAATAATTCAAAGGGGCTAATAATTATGACTTCAAGTGTGTGTAGGGTTATTTCCCCCCTATGTGAAATATGTTAATTTTGCAATAGACTAAATTACATTTGCTTTTTAAAAAACTAAGTGACAACTTAAAAAAAAGAGTTGATTAATCTCAATAATCTGTCATTTTGTAATCTTTTTAATTAAGAAAAAAGGGGGTTTGTCATGTTTCTTGATTAAAAAGATTACAAAATTACAGATTATTGAGATTGATCAACTCTTTTTTTGTTGTTGTTGTTGTCACTTTAAAAAGCAAATGTAATTTATTCTGTTGCAAAGTGCTAGAAACAATCACAGCAAACTGGCCTAAAAAAATATTGCTTATGTAACAGAGAACATACATACACACACATACACTTATACAGCTTTATGGGAACTTCCCATAGACATAATGATATGTATACTGTAAAAACTGTGTATTCCATCCCCCTACCCCAACCATACCCCTAAACTCAACCCCTTTCAGAAAAAATCAATCATTTTTCCATATTCGATATACTTCTTCATGGGGACCTAATATACTTTCCCCACAAGTTCCAGATGTACTGGTATTACTGGTATTCAAAGTTTTTAAAGTACAGTTGTTAGTGAATAGCTACACAAATAAAATTTACAAACATAGACTCTCGAACTTGAAAGTGAAATTTAAAAGTATGTGGATATGGAACATTGCCTTTGTATTTATAATACTGTTATAATTATCATAATATTATAATATGTGCCTTGTGGCTCTTAAAGGAATTACAGTAATCATGGTTGTCTAAAACAACTGTCGTTAGATTAAATTGATACAGTTTGACACAATAATTTAATAAGCACAACAAGCCTACTCAAAAGTATGAAGGCCCAGTTTTTTGTTTTTTTTTTTTTTTGTATTTTTTAATGTGAAGGTATTGTCGATGACAATTTAGTGCATTTAAGAGACGTTTTATACTTTTATTGAAAATCTGTCATGTGTTTTTGAACACATGGCTTGTTTTAATACTGATATTCTAATGATAAGGAAACAATAGTGTGTTTTGTGATGTAATAATATGTTTTGTGTACGCATAATTGGTCCAGTGTATGGTTGAAAGTTAAATGGTTGGTTTAGTGATGTTCTTCATATGTTTGTGTTTGCAGCCCAGCAGGAGGACGATGAGTTTGTGTGTCAGATCATCTACGTCTTCTACCAGATGGTCTTCCACCAGGCCACCAGAGATGTCATCATTAAGGACACTCGTATCCTTCTTTCAGTTGATTGATTTTGGATGCATTTTCATGTTTTTTCAGCACAGATGTTTTGTAAATATTGTTTGACAGCTGTTTGGCCTGTGTTCACTGGTGCATTGATGCAGTCTTCAATAGTTCAGATCCACATGAGAATACATGCTCATATTCCCAGACTAATGTGCAGTGGAAGGTACACATATATTTCAGCTGTTATATATTTATTATTTAACTAATTAAGAAACAGCAAAAAATAATAAAACATGCAAAAACATTCAAATTATAATAATCAAAATCTACATTGTTCCTCTGTGAGATTAAGGCCCTGTTTACACTAATACGTTTAAGTTTTAAAACGCATAAGTTTTGCTATGATTACACCTTCTGTCCATATTAACCAGGAGATTTTGAGCCATGAAAATGATGCGTTTTTAAAATGCTGAGGAGGCTGTTTTGGTTTTAAAACACTGCTGCTCCGTCTTATCGTGGATGGGGGAAAATGGAGACATCTGAAAATGAAGGCGGGGCTGCAGACATTTGCTGAATGATTGGGCTTTTTTTCAATATCAAGTACACAAAGTTAAGTCTTGAGTCCATTCCTTGTAAGTTCAGACTTCGCAAGTTTGATATGGAGAACAAACTCCAGAGGACACGTCTGGTAAACCTTCAAAGAGAACAGTGTAGGCTACTTTATAACCCCATTCACATCACCCTGGCTATGTTGTTTTACTATCTTAACAATTAAATGAAAACATCGTATGAGTAAATGCCTATTTTCATTTTGATATTAACAACTTAACAGACACCAAAAATGTTAAGGCATCGTAGCTACATATTTATTTGACATCTTCACTGTATGCATATTTATAAAAAATAGTGCCTATAACATAATTGCCTCCATTCATTTTCAGTGAAAAAATACGAAACGCACCCTGTCTTTTGCTGAATATCATAATTTTAATAATCAATAATGGGCATTATAAAAGTATAACGTACAATAAGTTTATACAATATAGCAAATAAATGCAAGCAATCAGTCAATCAGTCAGTCACTTTACCTGAGAACAAGTAATAAATTCAAAAAACCAAAGTTGGGGAAAATGTCGTTAGATATAGACAAGATGAATTAAATATCATGTTTAACAACAATAGTGAGATGAGATCCAGGGGTAGATTATTGATGAACAGTCCGCTGCTCTCACCTGGGTAGGTGTGCTTAAAGCAGCCGCTGACTGCCTTGAGCTCAAACGTCCATATACGCTGCAGCACATGCCAGAAAGTGTGTGTGGTCACGTGATGTGTGTTTTCAGCGTTGTAGTGTGGGCGGGGATCTTTTCAGCAATGCTGGATAAAACACCAGCGTGGGCGTGGATCGTGGAATGCCGTTTTAAAACTAAAACGCATCAGTGTAAACGTTGCCTAATACTCTGAATATCTACATTCAGACCATTCTCAGGTGTTTTAAAAGAACTGTTGGCCAAGACCACAAGACCCGTTGTTGTTTTTTTGGGGGGTCAAAATTGCTGTAATTAAAGATCTTTTATATTATACAAACTGTTACAGTGAACTATTTGAGCTGTTCACACCCTCATTCTCATTACTAAATTATTATGCTAATTTGAGTAATTTGATATTACATGTAGTTTGTATGGCAAAAATAACCAAAATGGTTCCACGTGTGCCTTTTTTAATAACATCAACCACTGGTATTTAGCATTCAACCACTAAATACCATCAACCATGGGATTTAGAAATAACCATGGTGTTTCTAAATACCATGGTTATTATTGTTACCTAAAGCCATGAAACTAAAAAAAATGTTACTAAAAAATGAAAGTGTCTTTAGAAATATGAAATAGTATAATTATTTTATAAACATTTTAACAATTATTTCAGCTAACTGCCAAGAAAAATCTTTGAGTTTAAATTTAAAACAAGGGAAACACTAAAACAAAAGAAAAATGTAAATTATACATATATTTTTCATAGAATTACTAAACAAAATGATTTAAATAATCAGTTAAAATAACAACAAAATTTTTATAAAATATATCTTTTTCATTTTATAATTAAAAATATGTTTTAATGTTTTTAAATGTATTAATTAAGCTAGAATTTGTAAAAAAAAAAAAAAAAAAACTCTAGTTACTCGTTTATACTCGAATAATAATACTCAGTACTGTCTATTAATGAAAGTAGGAATTAATCATTTGCAAGGCCAGAAGGAATCTGCAGATGATTTTTGCTATTTCTGCTGAGAATTTTCGTAAAAATCCAAGTTCATAGAGTATCATAACTAAAACCTTAGTATGTGAAATAAAAAACAATATCTTTTTAACTTTTGTTTAATGTTTAAAATGCAAATCCAATTAGATTCACTTTTTTTGGTAAACAAAGCAAGTCTCTCTTATAATATATCTACTAAAAGACAGAAAATATTATTGTACAAACTGCATTGTACATAAATCAGATGAACATTTTTATATTAGTCAATAATGTTACTGTAATTAATTTAAAAACTGAATAAATACAGATTTACACACATTTACACAGGGAAATAAACAGAATTAATGATGGGCTAAAAATCTGCAGAACATCTGCTGAATTCTGCACGCGCAGATTCCGTGTGGGCCTATTTGTATTAATACCAGTAGTGCTCAAATACTGTCAGTAGCAGTTATTAATAGCACATTAATGACTTCACTGGCCATCACTCACCACGCATAATTTAAAAAAAAAAACAATAGCATGATAAAGTGAAATGTTTTTTTTTTACTGATCAAAAATGTGTAATTATGGCAATTGAACTCGATCCTAGTGATTATTTGCATATGGAAATGAATCATTAAACTCCTTAACCATACCTAAAAGAAGCCCCAGCCTACCTCATCGACCTAATGCACGACAAAAATGTGGAGATCCGGCAGGTGTGTGACAACACTCTGGACATTATTGCTGTAAGTATATCCGCAAACCACCGCACACAGATGTGAAGGAGTGTTTTTGTTCAATGCTGCCCGTGTGTGTTTGCAGTATGGATGAAATCAATGCAGTTAATGGCCACTCGCTGACATTAGATAGCAGTAATTGCTGGTGAACTCTGAGAGCCAGGTTTGTTCGGGAAGTGTTTCATTCACTTTATTAGCCTGCTGGTTTAGCCTCGGCCACATGAAAGCCAGCGTGTGGGATCTGGTTTGTGTCTTGTGGTGATAGAGAAAGTGCAGATGTAAAGTTTTGACTTCTAAGTTGATGCTGATGCTACTATCAAGCATTCAGACATTCGCTTATATTAGGTATTTTGTGAAGGATACTTCACTTTTTTTGTTTTTATTTTCGAGTAGTGGCCTAAAGTGATGTTTGAATGAGACATTTGCCCAATATTTGCTTTTAATGACATTACCAGTTTTATTAAACCATTAAAATTAAGTAACTCACAGAAAATGTTTTGGTGAATTCATTAGTATTTGGTATATTCGTAAAATAAAGTTTCATTGTATGATTTTTAAGGAAAAAGTAAGTTTGAAGGTTACTAAATAACTAAATATAACTTTCACAAGTAAAGTGGCACGGTGGCTCACAACAAGAAGGTCGCTGGTTTGAGACCCGGCTGAGTCAGTTGGCATTTCTGTGTGTAGTTTTTCCCACAGTCCAAACACATGCACTATAGGTAAATTGAATAAACTAAGCTAGCCAATGTGTATATGCTGGAAGGGCATCTGCTGCGTAAAACATATGTTGTATTGTTAAGTTGGTGGTTCATTCTGCTGTGGCGACCTCTGATGAATAAAGGGACTAAACTGAAGCAAAATGAATGAATGAACTTTCACAGGCGACTTTGTAAATTATGAATATCTTAATTTTCTTAAACATGTTTACTGTTTAGAGTTTGTTGAATTAGTTGTCTTGTTTAAGTAAACAATTTCTTCTGGCAAAAAAGCGGGTAAAAAAAGAAATAATGTTCAAATAAAGCTATATAATAATGGTAAAAGATAAATTATAGTGGATATAAAAGTAATTTTAATAAAATTAAATAGCAAAAGTACCAAAAATGTTCATTCAAATGTAAATACAGCGGTAAGATGCTTAAAAAAGTTTTAAGCTTTGGGAAAAAAGGGCATACTGCAGTTTATCACAAAATCTAAGTTTTATTTTATAAAACTATACAATAACAATATCATGTTTATATTTACACTTTCCAAGCACAATTACTCAAAATGTTTTGAAAATTGACTTTAACATTATATCAGTATGCTTGAATAAATAATTGGTACAATTGTACCTGTTCTACTTTAAAAATATGGTGATTGTGCTGTGCGATTGTAAGCTAAATTAAATTATTTTAATATTATGTTGACAAGATAACAGGAACCTTGAGTATCATTGAGTAAATAATGCTGTTTTTATTGAAAGTTTTATTTATAAAATGTATTTCTTTATTTATTTTTTGTAGTAGCTTTGCTGTCTGCTATCATTAGTTGTTTTTTTATTGTCTGTAGTTTGATTATTTATTTATTTATTTATTTATTTATTTATTTATTTATTTTTAAGTAACATTAAATGAAAATAATATTTTTTGACAGCCAAACAAATTAAATAATTCAGTTAATGTTCATTTTATGTGAAAAAAATAAATAAATTAAAAGCCTTATTTAAACTTAATGTCTGTAGACTACTGTTTACTGTGAATGGCTAAGATAAAAACCACACAGTTAGGCTACTTTTCAACATTTTATACAGATGTTACTGTTTATGTTACTGAAATGTCATTTCAGATTAAATTAAATTAAATCAATTCCGTGTCTCCTGGTGCAAATTCAGCTCGAGCTTTTAAATGTACATTTCTAAGAGACAAACCATGATAATTTTAAAGGTTAAATATAGAGGTTAAATAGTACTATCAAATTAGCTGCTGGCTCTTCAGGCTTTATCATTAAAAGTCATTTTTCATCATAAGTTCCTTTATACTATAGTGGAATAGAAATTTTATTATAAAGTGAAATTATATTATAACAAATAAAATTATTTGGCATCGGATCTTGCTGCTATTGGACCAGCATTCTTTTGAGTTTAATCCCAAAACATCTCCTTAGTTTCTTGCCAGCCTGTAGTATATGTTCAATTAATAACACCTTTTGTCACTTTTCGACTTTTGAATATGAAAAAAAATAATTAATAATTGTTTTTTGGATAGCCCCTTTTTTCTGTTTTGATCATAATTATCAGTCATGAGTATTTCTGCGCTACAAGAAAACAGACATTTTGAAGAATCCAGCTCATTGTTTTTGTTTATTGACAAAGACAAACATTTCAGAATATCTTTAAATATCTGACAGGAAAAAAAGGTTCTGTAATGTTGGGTGCAGGTCTGTGTGAGTGTGTGCTCTCTCTGGTACTCTGGCCCCGGGCTCCCGCGCAGAACTGTACTGCTGTCCACATGATGAATGGACAGAGCAGAGAAAAGAGAAACAGGGCTTATTTACTCAGGTTCTGCCACAGGGGGGCCGCGCCTGATTAATCCGTATTTTCATTCAGCGGAGCAGGCGGCGGCAGGACGCCTCTGTGGGCCTTTAGACCCAGGACAGAGAGTTGGTCTTGAGCTCTGAGCTCCAGCGGCCCCTGCTGTGCCTCCGCCGTACAGAGCTAATACTGCAGCGCTAATCAAACCAATGCCAACCAAGACCTCGTTTACACTTTATAATGTTTCTGTTTGCCATAAACCAATTAATTTTCTTCTCAATTTAGTGTAGCTACAAAATATTATTTAGAAAACCACAAATATTTGTTGATTAATGAAGTCGCATGTATTAATAGACATTGTTCGTATAGTAGTTTTTGATTCATAGATGTATTTTTGTTTAGTTTTGTTTTATTTAGGCTTTCATATTGCATTATAGTATTTTGATCTCTACTTCTACAAATTTGATTGTGAAACTTTAACTTTACAGTTTTACAAAGCATCTTTGTTGACATTTTTTAAAAAAGTTTATATTATATATTATTATTTATATATTTTGGAGGTCTCCAACAACATGCTGACATGCGTGCAAGGTCAAAAAACACTTTCATTGTCTGATAATGTGCATTTCTTATTACCTAATTATCACAAAGACTCCCATATTATTTGTTCAGCGAATCATTTGTTCCCAAACCCCTCCTTAGCGCAATGCTAGAATTGGGCTGAATTGGACCGATAATCCAGTCTGTTGTGATTGGTTGACTGTGTTCAGCTCGAGACAGAAAGAAATGCCCACCACGGCTACAGTATGAAGTAGCACAAAGTATGTGAGAGCCCAGTGCAGGAATGCACTAAAGCAATGCAGTTAAACACCAGCATATTACTCTACTCTTAACCCTAACCCCAAGAAATAACAACGACACATAAAGTATTAATCCACACTGTGGCAAAAGTTGAACTATTTTAAAACTTGACCGTGACACGCGTGTGAGAAAAAGCTGGTGACTATAGCAACAAACAGCAGAGGATCGCCAGTTCCGGAATGCATTTAAATCGATAAAGGAAAAAGCTGATTTTGGACGCGATATGTGAACAGCCCCATACAGATTTAACCTGAGAGATACAGTACAAGTATTGATCTATAATAGATATGTGATTACAAGCCGCTCGGGGCCATTACAACTTAAAACACACAATTAAACACATATTTTGCAAACTTCACAAAACAAGGCAATAATTTTAGTGACTCTTTAAATTATTTGGTGATGTACCGTGTCATCGTTGATGCAATCAATCAAAAGATCCAAACCCAACTCAATACGTTTATTCGACTCTGAGTCAACTATTTCGCTAAAGAATCAATTGTTTTAAACACTGTGCACTTTCAGATTTAAACCTCAGCTCAATGTTTTCATTCACTTAGAGATGTGTTATACACTGCATGGAAGCTCATTTTAAAAACCATAATAGGAGCTCTTCAATATTGCAAGTATTTCAGTGTCCAGTGGCTGCTGTCTAGTTGCCAACATTTTTCAGAAGATCATATATGGTGTTCAACAGAAGAAGAATGTTGGGTTCCCCTTCAGGAGGAGAATTCTATGCTATGTGGAAACTTCCACTATGGGGATTTCATCAGAATCCAATCATCTGAAAGAGTATATAAACAGGCCAATGAAATGCCAGTGAGTTGGCAGAGTCAGCATGCACAGCTGGCGCTACTTACTTATAATAAAAGTGCAGCGTGTGCCAAGCTGAGCATCCTTTTCTAGCTGAAGAGACTTTCACACTCAGCTAAAGGGCAATTATTATGGCAAATGAACATAGCTTTTCATAGCTTTTTTGTTTATATTAACATAAAACACTGTTTATTGACCGTTTTGATTCTATAATGCAACATATTTGACAGCATTACAGTATATTCAACTGAAGTTCACTCCATTCTAATTCTTGCCAATTCAAAACTGTAAAAAAAAAAATAATAATAATAATAATGTATATGTTAAGTGACCTAAAAGTTTTTCTCACAAACTTTCTCAATACCATTTGAACTGAAAGTTGCTACCCACATTTATTTCAGTATGAAAGAACTTCTTTCTTACTAAAACGTTTTCTTACTATCAATATTATAAAAGCTCTATAAGAATTAAGATGAACTGGCTTGAATTGAATATGATGATGTTTTACCAACTGTTTATGCACCCCTCATTTCATCTTTCCCTTGCAGCAAACAAATGGTTGGCGGTGTGGAAAGTGAATTTCAGCCAATCCATCAAGCTGACATAATCAGATATGATATTTTTATATTATGTACTGTTATATTTTAGATTGTTAAAAATTTTTACTTTTTTAATACATAATTTATTTCAGTGGAATAACTTGCATGGATTAATTTTTCACATTAACACTTACGATATGCACAAAAAAAACTTTGTAAATATAATGTGAACTTTAAAAGTTCCGTAAAGTGCTTTGAAATATGCTTTTTTTTTATTAAAGTTTGACTTATTCACAACTGAAACATGACAACAGGGCCAGACATATACTCCTTTATTTAAAAAGCAGCCAATGGTGTTTAGTTTTATTCACAGTTCTGCCAGTGAAAGAGGTTGAGATCAGTTGTGGAAAGAGTACTGAAAAAGCATACTTAAGTAAAAATACCATTACTTGCCTAAAAATTTAGTGCAAGTAGAGTAAAAGTATCTGTTGTAAATATTACTCAAAGTATGAGTAAAAAGACCTTTCTAAATTACTCAGGAGTAGTGGGTATTACACTGTAAAAAGCTGATGTATTTACATGTAATTTGTAGATATGTGTAACCATAACATTCTGTAGTGCATTTAGTTATTGCCCAGCAGGCGATATAGCCCATAAGACGTTAATATTAGGTTAGTTTTAGGTTGTGATGTCAGGTGACCAAAATTCAATGTATAGCCAACGTCTAAGGACAACACTATTTTGATGTCCAATAATGACGTCAAATAACGTTAATATTTGGTTGATTTTAGGTTGTGTTGGAAAGTGACTAAAATCCAATGTCGAGCCAACATCTTACACCAACGTCATATTTACATCAAATACTGACATTTATTCTTTAGGTATGGCAATCAAAATCCAATGTCTGATAGACGTCATAGTGACAACTTCAAGCTGTAACATAATCAGACGTTGATATTTGGTTGGTTTTAGGTTAGACGTTGGACATTGACGTTGGCTTGATGTTGAGTTCTGATGTCAACCTGATTTTTTATTACCAAAAAAAATTGCAACGTCCGTGATGTTGGGGTACTATGTCAGTCTGATGTCATATTGACATCTTGTGCCTGCTGAGTGTTTAAGGCCATTTTTCTGGGTCAATGCGTGTACAGATTTTGGACATCTTCTTGGACACTTTTAATGCTCCCAAACAGTTTTCTGCAATTATAAAGCACACATGTCTTGAGGTAGTTCATTATGATGGGATTTACCTTCTATGTGTGATCTGATTGGACAGAAATCACAGGACTGATTTTTCTAATCACCATAGACAAGAAATAATAAAGTAGTGACTGCAGGTTGAAGGAAAGTAGTGATGTAAAAGTACCAATACTGCACTAAAAGTATACTCAAGGGAAAGCAAAAGTACATATATATAAAACTACTTAGTAAATTACAATTCCTGAGAAAAACTACTCAGTTAGTTAAGTCAAGTCAAGTCAAGTTTTATTATTTGTCACATACATAGTTATACAAAGTATGACCAGCAGTGAAATGTAGGTCAGGTCCGCTCCAGAGATAGATAAATAATAAGGGGAAAAAAAAAAAAATTGTGCAAAAAAAGATGTGCAAAAAATTATACAAGGTAATAAGAATAGCAGCAATATGAGGTACTTATAAATATGACTACTACAGTGATAAATACGAAAAAATCAAGTAATGTGTAACACCGGGTTAGAATTTAGCAGCCTGAATTTAGCAGCCTGATGGCCTGGGGAAAGAAACTCCTCCTAAGTCTCTCAGTTTTTGCCATCAAGCTACGGAAACGTTTTCTAGATGGAAGCAAAGTGAATAGATAATTGTCAGGATGGTTTAAGTCCTTACAGATTTTAACAGCTCTATTTTTACAGCGTTTAAAATAGATGTCCTGCAAGGAGGGTCATTTGAGTCATTTGAGTATTTGTAATTAGTTACTTTACACCACTGGTTGAGATCAAGTGCGTCAAATGAAAAGCAAATGAAAAAGCATCTTGAAGAGAGCGTTTGATGAGAAGTTGAAGTTTGAAGTTTGATGTGATGTCAAAAAAATCGTAGATCCATGTTGGCGGAATTGTTTACATCAGGTTTATATCTTATTTTGTCATTGTTTTGGAGCATACTAACCTTTAGACATCCTCAAGAATAGATTATTCATACTTAGTTAACTTTGTCTCCGTAGGGAAATTTCATTTGCAGCATACACTCATAGAGACTTCTGACATTTCACATTTGGCATATATATATATAGTTAAAGTGAGAATTTTTAGCCCCCCTACCTTTTAAAATATTTTCCAGATGATTTTTAACAGAGCAAGTAAATGTTCACAGTATGTCTGATAATATTTTTTCCTTTTGGAGAAAGTCTTATTTGTTTTAATTCAACTAGAATAAAAACCGTTTTAAATTTTTTAAACACCATTTTAAGATCAAAATTATTAGCCCCTTTAAGCTATATATATTTTTTGATAGACTACAGATCAAACCATCGTTATACAATAACTTGCCTAATTACCTTAACTTGCCTAGTTACCCTAATTAACCTAGTTAAGCCTTTAAATGTCACTTTAAGCTGTATAGAAGTGTCTTGAAAAATCTCTAGTCAAATATTATTTACTGTCATCATGACAAAGCTAAAATAAATCAGTTATTAGAGATGAGTTATTAAAACTATTTTAATTAGAAATTTGCTGAAAAATATCTTCTCTTCATTAAACAGAAATTGGGGAAAAAAAACAAACGGGGCAAATAATTCTGACATCACTGCATGTATATAAATAAATCATTTAAAACATGGAAACCCTACTTTAAATAAATATTCAGTCTACTAGCCATCAACTGAAAGAGGAGGAATTCAAAAACTTAATCGCTTGAGGTATAAATGATATTTTTTTCCTATTTTTTACACACCTGGGAACACAATATTGATGACCTGATGGTAACAATTGGAAGGTGTTTGATAAAGGATGTCTTTCATCATTGACAGTCATGATAGCCTTATTTAATACTCTTTCTTTGTATATACTATTGATGTGCACATTACCACATTACTAACATCTAAAAAAAAAAGTTATTTAGATTTCATGGGACCGTTAATAACTGAGGACCAATTATGTACTCAAGCGTCTCTCTCTCTCTTTGATTGGAAGTGCTCTATTAAGATGACGGCAGACTGATGCAGACAGAGTGAAATGCATTTGCAACTGATTCAAATAACACAAAGTCAACTGATTCCCTGTCTCATCAAATGTGCAGGTTTGGCAGAAAGTCTGTGGGCGATGTGTGTGTTGTGTGTGGCACTCCACCCTGTCTGTGGGCACTGCGCCTTTAATCACTGACCACACCGGATTAAAACAGAGATCTGTTTCTCTATGGCACCATCAGCCTAGAGGGAAAACCCTGCTCAGACAGAAGCCCTCATTGTGGCATGAAATATATCTGCCGTGCAGGGTCCGGACGGAGTTTGAAGTCGGTAACGGTGGATGGTAGATTGCCAGGCGTGACAGCGTATGAGACCCTCAGATATTCTGTTGCGGGGAGTTGGCGCTGAGATTCGGAGTGCCAGCGATGTTTTGACAGCTTTAAAATGTATGAATTTGCACAGCTGTGTGGTATGATTTGGGTTAGGGAGGCGAATAAATATACATGTTTGTGTGTGTTCTGTAAAGGAGTACGATGAGGAATGGGGGAAGAAGATCCAAAGCGAGAAGTTTCGCTGGCATAACTCGCAGTGGTTGGAGATGGTGGAGAGCAGACAGATGGAGGACGGCGAGCCCTACATGTATGGAGATGACCCGGAGGCTCTCGAACAGCCCGATCTCTTCTACAGCACTGGTTAGAAAGCACACACATGCATGCTGGTTTTTGGGGGAATATTTAAAATTGTGTTCATAAATACTCACCCTCATGTCATTCCAATCCCTTAAGATCTTCGTTCATGTTCAAAACACAAATTTAGATATTTTAAAAGAAATCTGAGAGATCTTTGACCCTTTATAGATACCAATGATCCAGAGATGTCCTGAAAAGGAACCCAAAACATTGTAACATTGATGTTGTATTGTCACTAGTGTTGGGCAAGTTACTTACCAAAAATATTAATAGATTACAAATGACTGATTATTACTGAAATATTGTAATCTGATTACATTACTAATCACTTCATGTAAAAAAGTAATCAGATTACTAACTACTTTACTTGAAAGTAACTTTTAAAACATATGAAATATACCTATAAAAATAAAACAAGAGCGGAAATATATAGAAATAAACAAGCTGCGGCTCTTTCAGTATATTAATATTCACCTAAAAACATTTCAATGAGTTGATCACAGCAGCTTGACATATTCAAAAGACTCAAAGAGATGTGTGTATATGTGTGAAATGTGTATATTTCATACAAAGTATGAAGCTGATCAGTCAGTTCTTGTCACGTGACTCACGGTTTTCAACTAGTGCACCTGGAAAATGCGAATGTGTGCAATATGCGCTCCGAATATGTGTGCACAAGCCGCACACCTCTCTTGGAAATAACAAACTTATGCGTGCAAAAGATGCAATATGTGAACGGCCCTGTAATCATGCACAAAAATTCAATTTAGTCTGTTTTGGCTGAGTTGGACCGCAGTGTTTTTGGGCAAAAGTGTCCTCCTTGGCGACGAGTGTTGCCGTAAAAGGCTTTCTATTCAAGTGCTTGAACAAATTACTGGTCGAGTTAAAATCAGTCGAAAATTCTTTAAGACAAGACAAATACTGCATTTCACAGCAATATTTTAGTTTTTATGCTCAATGAAATCAAAGCAATGTTTGTATTTCCAATTGATGAAGCAATCACTCTCGTCGGCAACCATTTCAGCTCGCGTTCTCCAGCAATTTAAAAGCGCATGCTTATTAACTGACGTGGCAGTGGAAAACATTTTTAAAAAGAAGCATTTTTTCTTCTAAAAATTATATTTTTATAGTAAACTTAATCAACTGTTATCAAATTACGCAAATTTAAAATGTAATTCGTTACATTGTTTCCCAAAAATGTAGTTAGAATAAAGTAATGTGTAACTGTGGAATGCTAAACCCAACTCTGACTGTCATTAGAGAGAGCAACGAACACACAAGCATCATATTGGCCGTAGTAAATGTCAACCCTGATGTGATGCGGGACACATTGACAAACAAACTACTTTTTATAGTTTTTGGCCAATAAAATGATTCATGAAGTTTGGTATGATTACAGTTAAACCAATGAAATCCCATGTGGAGTTTTGTTTTTGGTGTCTTTTGCGAACTTTGAACATCTCGGGACCATAGCAGTCTATGGAAGATGAGAGAGCTCTCAGAATTCCTCTAAAACAGGGGTGTCAAACTCAATTCCTGAAGAGCCGCAGCCCTGCAGAGTTTAGTTCCACCCTTGCTTCAACACACTAAAGCCTGATTTATACTTCTGCGTCAAGTGACCGGCGTAACCCACGGCGCATGCAACGCGCGTAGCTGTGCATTTATACTTCTGCACGCTGTCTCTGTTGGTCTGCATTAACACTTCCGAAATGCTAGTTGGCAGTGAGGTGTAAATGTTCCTCTGTGTCGAGTTTCTTTGCTGTTGTTTTGCTTTTCCTAAACACTTCCGGGATGTACAAGTGGCTCAAACTCGCTCATTTTGAGGCAGGAACCGGCTGACGTGCAACAACTTTAACTATGAGGTAAACACAAAACAAAACTTACCATCCGGAGCTCCTTCATGGGACTCCACGCTTGTAAACAATCGCTCCGTCAGGCTCACACCATTCACGCGGCTCTCGGTCCCACCCAGACTCGTCAGCGCTACCAATCCGACCAATCACAGAGCTTACGCTACGTGTAGTTACATTTTTTGAGAGGTGCACATCAGCGAAGGCGAAGGGCTATGCGTCAGCGCCATAGCATACGCCGGCGTTTGACGCAGAAGTATAAATCAGCCTTTATGCTGCGCTCACACTAGAATTTGAGCACTCAAAATTCTGTTGTACAGCGCTGTGAAAAGGGGCTGAATTAAACAAGTTTCTTAGACATTAAAAAAAGCGAGCCATTGCTCCATATTTTACATTTCTGTAAAGAGAGGTCATGTTTGACCTATTATTGGTCTCACACAGTCACTTGATTCGATTTCGCAGGTCATGGTTCACCAAGCTTGAACTTTGCAACGCAGCGAATTGCGAAACTTGTCGCACAAGCTTGCGTTTCCAGTCTGTCACATTTGCATGTGTATGAATGGAAGTCTATGTGTAGAAAAGTCCAGTGTGACCACGACTTTACCTGTAGGCTTCAAACAAGCTTAAAGCACTCAATTAGTTTGATCAGTGTGTTTAATTAGGGTTGGAAGTAAACTGTTCAGAGCTGCAGTCCTCCAGGAACTGAGTTTGACACATGTGATCTAAAATATCTTAATTTGTCCTCCAATGATGAATGAATGTCTTTAATTCCTCATTTAATTATAAAAAATCCTTATTAAGCTTCCAGTAGCCATAAATGTTTGCAAGGATTAAAAACCTTTATTTTAGCTCTCAACAAGACAGCGATAAAACTTCACAAACATTGTTGAACAATGACAGTGACTTTTATTAACAAAAAAGATGTAGTAAAAATGTAGTAAAAAGACTAAATATTTTATGTTATTAAAAGCTTTGTGAATTTGAGGGATATTAAAGCTTTGTTAGAAATGAGCTGTACAAATCCAAATTTGTGCTCACTTTGCATGTTTTTACTGCATGACCTGAAATGCACTACATGGGTCGCTTTGGAATAAAAGTGATAAAACGATCCATTTGTTTTCTGGAAAATCTGTTAGAGACCAGATACTCTTTTGAAGAATATGATTGAGACTCCAAAAAAACGTTTTCTTGTCTGCTGATATAACTTGATTGACATCTTATGCTGCAACTTGACAGACATGGAAAGTTGAAACCCTACATTTGTATTTTCCATGAGAATTGTGATGCTGTGTTCTGGTGTGATCGTCCGGCGAGTTGATGTCATCAAAGGCTTATCGTGGCGAGAGGTTGTCAGGAAGACGAATGAGGAGAACTGCTGGTGGAAGTGGCTCTGCTGGGTCTCTGTCTCATGTGTTTGTTTGCTCTGTTTATTGTGTGTGTGTATGTGCAGATGGTATGATGAATCCGGAGCCAGGCATCAGTCCAGACTTCTACAGCCAGTTTCACCCTCAGAATGGAGACTTCAACGCCTGGTGAGTGAGCATCTGTTCCTCTCATCAGCTTATACTGTGTGTAAAATGACTTGCCTTTTCAGTGTATTAATCAATTATATTAGTATTCAAGTAAAATGTATATAAATGATATATGTATACTAGTAAATATAAAGGATTGGAAAAAATGTTTTGGCTAAAAAAGCTCTCTTTTTTACATTGTAAAAAAAAAAAAAAGTCTGCTACCCAATTCTTTTTTACTTAAATCAAATTAACTTTTTTGTTCTAGTCATCTCAACTCACATCTGTAATATAATAATAATGTTATAAATATATTCATTTAAACTTTGTATAACTACAAAAATTTAGTTGAAGCCTGATTAAAAAGCATTTGTAATTACTTTTTAGGTGGTTGAATAATGTCTGTTGTTAGCATTTGGCTAATTAATATTCAGTTTTCACTTGCCAGCAGGGTATTTCTAGACTTTTTTCTCTTGGACAGGAGCCCCCAGTAAAATACAACTGTGCCCCAGTAAAACATTAGTGATAAATCCAGTTCTACAGTTCTATGGATATTATCGTACACTAACACAAGTATATCTGCATGCTGTTATTATTATTTTTTTTTTTGAAAATATGAGGATTAATTCATCCAAAAATGAAATTTGTGTTCATAAATACTCACCCTGAGATCTTTGTTCATTTTTAAAACAGAAATTTAGATTTTTTTTTTTTTGAAAGAAACCCGAGAGAAAGTGAAATACCACAGTACCCCAGTAAACATTAGTGATAAATGCAGTTCTGACAATGGATATTACAACTTGATAATCAATAACTGATAGTCAATAGAATCAGAACTAGTTGTTTAAGAATGAACAACCATAATTATTATAAAGTTAATATCACTGAAGTAAAATAGGTGCACCATTAGGGTTGAAAATGTAATTAAGAAGCAATGAAAAGGAGTCTAGCAGCTCTTATGATAAAAGAAATAACATTATCAATGTAAGTCTATCACCATGTTTCAGCTTTTAAGACTTCACCAGGGTCTGTTAGGGTAATATAATGAAAGTATAACAAAACCCCCTAAAATAACTCCTATAACACATTAATAAATGTTAAGTGGGTTTTTATGTACTGGATGTGGATGGAGGTTATTCAGGCAATTACAGTACATATGGTACTTACATACTGAAGTCTTAAAAGCAAAGTTCACCCAGAAATATGTAATAATTGCTCGTCCTCCTGTTGTTCTAAACACACTGTTTCCTTGGAAAAATATTAATTTTTACTTTGATAAGCAGTTTGCGTTGGAGACCACTAGGAGGTTTCCCAGTTCACTAGGTAGTTAGAGGAACTGCAAACTGTTGCCCAGAGAAGTAAGATTTTACCTAAGGAAATTTTCCTGGTTTCATTCATACTAGTTGGAACCAGTATGTCTTGAAACACTTTATTTTTTGCTGTTTTTATGCAATGTTGACTTCAACAGTATTACAGTTGAAGTCAGAATTATTATTATTATTATTAGCTATTATTTTTTCCCCAAGTTCTGTTTAACGGAGAACATTTTTTAACACATTTTTAATCATAATAGTTTTAATAACTCATTTCAAATAACTGCTATATTTAATCTATGCCATGAAGACAGCCAATAATATTTGACTAGATATTTTTCAAGACACTTATATATACATACAATTATATATACATTATATATACTCATATACAGCTTAAAGTGACATTTAAAGGCTTAACTGGGTTAATTAGGTTAACTAGGCAGGTTAGGGTAATTAGCCAAGTTATTGTATAACAATGGTTTGTTCTGTAGACTATCAAAAAATATAGCTTTAAGGGGCTAATAATTTTAACCCCAAATTTTTTTTATTTATTATTAAAAACAGTTTTTATTCTAGCCGAAATAAAACAAATAAGTAGAAAAAATATTGTCCAGTAGAAAAAATATTGTCACACATACTGTGAAAATTCCCTTCCTTTGTTAAACATAAATTGTGAAATATTTAAAAATAATATATAATATTTAATATTTAGAAATGTTTAAAAGAAAAAAAAAAAAACTCAAAGGGGAGCTAATAATTCTGAAATTAACTGTATATGTTGGGGAACAGTGTTGGGTGTTATTAGTGACAGAGTAACTAGTCACTGTAATTAAATTACTTATCCACTGAAAAAATAATGGGGCGGCACAGTGGTTCAGTGGTTAGTGCTATCGCCTCACAGCAAGAAGGTTGCTCAATTGATTCCCGGCTGGGCCAGTTGGCCTTTCTGTGTGGAGTTTGAATGTTCTCCTTGTATTGGTGTGGGTTTCCTCCGCTTGTTCTGGTTTCCCCACAGTCCAAAGACATGCGCTGTAGGTGAATTGAATAAAAAATAAATTGGCTGCAGTGTAGAGTATATGTGTGTGTGTGGATGTTTCCCAATACAGGGTTGCAGCTGGAAGTGCATCCGCTGTGTAAAACATATGCTGGAAAAGTTGCCAGTTCATTCCACTGTGGTGACCTCTGAAATAGAGACTAAGCCGAAGGAAAAGGAATGTATTTAAAAATAATGATAAAATAACGGATACTTTTCATTTTAAGGTAATTTTTTAAAATATACTTGCTGTAAATATTTTAAACAGTCCTGTATAAATCAGTTCAGAGAAGCAGAGTGAATTGTTTTTGTTGTTGTACAAATATATTTATCAGAATAATTCATAATAAAGGAGGTTGCATTTATAAAGACGATTGCACACGACTAAGAAACGATGAATTGGGTAAAAAATATTGACAAAATATGATGTATATATGAACTATTGTGTAATCAGGGCTTGACATTAACTTTTTTCATCACCAGCCACTGTGGCTAGTAGTTTTTCAAAGTTACTAGCCAATTGCCATTTTCACTAGCTACAATTTTGTTGTTGGGAAAATATATTTTATATGCATATATTTGACTTTGTCATGCTAAAATTACTTGATTAAAATTTTTGTTATGTCCACATGCCTCTAACTTTTTTTTTATTATTTCACATGACTTTTTAGGGCTCAACACTAAGGATTTACCTTTTTTTTTCTCTGGCCGCACCAAACAAATTATTTTCTTGACATCAATTTGTTAAAATAATCTAAATATAGCTGTATGCATGCACTTTTTATTCAACAAAATGTTCTTTAAAAAACAATTGACATGGAATTTTTATTCTCGTGTATCTAAAACTATAAACAGCAGTTTGTCCAGACTAAAGGTCACAGATCATCAGGTAAATATAGATAAATGAACAGTTAATCTCTTATTAAAGCAATGTTTTTATAAAGGATGATAATTAAACCTTATTAACAAAAATAACTCCAAGTAAAAGAAGCATTCTATATGCAATAATGACAACATGATCACCTGCAAACGGTTATCCTTAGGCACAATAATAATCTGTTCAAAGAATGGTAAAAGCGAAAGCGGCAACCGCTGCTGCATACAAAAAAAACTGGAGATCTCTTAAAGGCAGCACTACTTTTTTCCAATCTATTTCAAAGGGAAATGATCCCAACAGTTGTGTTTCCAGGCACGGTTGTTGTGCGCAAGGAAACGAGAGCTTTTAAGCACTCGCGCTCATCACAGCAGCTTTATCTCGCTCACAACGTCAGTGAGTAGTATTGAGTAGTTAAGTTACTGTTCATATAAAGCCATTAGAAAAAGTTATTTAAATACAATTTTAATGTTGTAATTAGTAATTAGTTACTTTTTTAAGGTTATACGTAACCAACTTTGAGTAGGAACTATAACATTTTATAAAATGACAAAGCTGCGGTCTCAAATTTTAAAGATAATTTGCATTGCTCAGAGAAAAACCGAGATGCAGGTTTGAATGACATGGAGATGCTATTGTTGTTGATTGTCTTTATTTTGTTGAAATTCTCTAAAGTTCAATGGTAATGTTTAAAGAGAAGGTGAAAATTTTTTTTTTGTTTGTTTGTTTTTTCAATCTTTTCATGTTATTTCTTATCATTTGGAGGATATAATAATTAGTTCTACTATGTCTGTCTGATGCTTTCTTTCTCCACACTTTTGGCCCAAAAATAAACATGCCTTTCAAGTCCTGTACAGCCAAATATATTGTCCTCATTCCTCAAAAAACACACACATATGCGTAGAGATGAAGAACGTTTCACCTCACCTCTGATCCATCAGGAAATGGCTTCATCACTTGTGTTTGATATGCAGCTCTGATTCTGCATACTTACCTTTGTAGTCTAAACTAAGCCCTAATAAGTGCATACCCGATGCGAAGGCTTTTCCTGGAGATGTTTATAATGCGCTCTGAGCTTTGTATGGAGAATGCGCTGCTCGTCAGCCTGTTTGTTTTGGCTGGGTGTGGATTTGGGCACTTTTGCAGACGGACGGCTAGGCGTTGAGTGCCGAAGGGCTGTCATGTGGGTGAGGATAGAGACGGGGATCCAGATGGAGGAGGCGGCTATCCAGCGGCTCTTTGTAAAACGATACATGTCAAATATACACTGAGGGTTGGGGTGGTGGGAGGTGGGCAACGTGGGATGAATGGTTTAATTTGAGCGAGCAGCTCTGAGTGACAGAGGTTACCATAATAATCAAATAGAGTCTCAGTCTTTACTTTAGACGCTTGTGAAACGAGGTGTGTGAACGCAAGGCTTTTGGAGTGGTTTGGCTTCAGGACCAAGCGGAGACTGGTATTTGATTAGCTCAAGTGGTCCGTCATGATTCATGTGCAGGGGTTTTGCTTGATCTAATCAAATTTTATAATGTTAGTTTATGTTTTTTGTTTAAACGGATGTATACTAAGCAGCACAGTTCAGCTATTGTGACATGGCGGTTAAAACTTAAGATTGTTTTAAAACACATTAAATGAATTTCACACTTTTACAGATTCTATCTGATATTTTTTATTAAGTTAATCACATTTAAATGACATTTACTCTTTGTTTGAACGAATTCTTTAAAATGAGCTGAAACAACACAGTTCTTAAGTGTTTGGGGGGACAACTTAATTGTTTTAAAGAACCTTATTATTC